AGCAGAAGCCCCACCAAATGCCCTTCTATCTGCCCTCTGGCCAGGCTAAAGAGAATGTCTCCCAGCACTGTAGGGTCTGCCTCCAGCCCAGGCAGCATGCCCATATTTTGCCCATCTCCCCACCTTAATTTTAAGCCTGGATCTCCTAAAACTCACTCCCTCCCTTCAGCCAAAGGCTTCCAGAGGGTTAGTAGGAATCTCCATGATTTCCTCCTAGGGAGGAAAGACCCCACCTAAGCTAAGCTCCCCCACCCACTCTCCTCAAGGGCCTCTCTGCCATTTACCATTCTCTGCATTTCCAGTCAGAGTTCTCACTCCTTTCCAGCCTCCTGCCTCCTCTTCGACATCCTTCAGTCTAGGCCCTGCCCCCCACCTCAAAATGCCTGGTTCATTATGCCTGATGCCATCTGTCCTTGGAGCTTGCTTTTGGCCATGTTGTAGGGTGTCCCCTGGGACTAACCAGCAAAGATTAAGGACAGGTGGCTCCAGGTCTGGCACCTTGCTCTGGCAGTTCCTTCTGACCTCTTGGGTATATCCTTCTCCCTACTTGGTCCCCAAATGTGGGTGTTCCTTTTTATTCCACTTCCCAGTTCTTATTTATTTATCCCAACTATATTTATTTATATCCATTTCACCCAGATGGCTGAATGAGGAGCAGCTAGGGCATCTCCCACTTGGCAGGTTCATTTTCCACATTCACCTCAGGGATGGGGTGGGCAAAGAGGTCTGCATTGCCCCCCGCTAGGAATCCATGGGTCGATCATCAGACCCTGGGATCTGGTCTGTTGACCCCTGAACAGGAGGGGAACCCCTCGAAGTGCTTTCCCAGATTCTCTCCTGGGGGAAGGGGCCATCATGGACCCAAGAGGTGGACCTACTCTCCTCCCTCCAAGCCCACTCCCACACTCCTGCCCCTAGTCCTCACCAAACCTGATCTTTCAAAACATGAGTGTACTGACCTTGTCATCCTGAAACACACAGAACACCAAAGGCTCCCACTGCCCATGGGACAGTATTCATGTTGGCCCTGTACCCAGGTTCATTGCTCCCTCTGCTTCCCTCCTTCCTGCTCCAGCCTGCAGGAACCCTGGGTAGACTGCAGAATAGCCCAGAGCTCCTGCCCTGAAGGAAGACTCCAGGGCCCCTGCTGGGGCTAAATACTCTTCAGGGGCTGCTCCAATCTGGGCCTCCCTTTCTCAGGCTAAGGTACACAAATTCCGGTTTCCCTGGGTCTCAGCAATATTTACCCAATACTTGCCAATGTCTAGTGCAGAGTGGTCCATAAATATTTGGTCACAGTTCTGGGACAGTTGATGAAGTTGTCTAGAGGTACCCTGGGTCAGATAGGTGGGTACAGGTGCAAGGTGTAGGGGCTGGCAGAGGCCAGGCTTCTCTGCCTATCACTCCCCATGGCATGCACACTTAGAACCCTGAAGTAGCCAGCCCCAGGGCTGATCCTGACCCTGTAGAAAGATGACCCAGGGTAGCCTCCTGGATGATGCAATCCCACATATTTCCACCAGGTGGCGCTACGCTGTTGCCGTAGCGGACCAAAGCTAGGGGTAGAGCCCGGAGGGGCGGGGCCCTGGTGGGCGGTGGAGGACGGCCTCGCCTCTGCGGCTGGGAGTTTCCTGCCCTCCCTTTCAGTCCCTCCTCCCTCTTCGGGTCCTTGCTTAGTCTGGCCTCCTCTCGCCCTCTCGCGTCTGGATGTCTGTTTTTCTCCTTCCTTCCGTTGAGCTGGTCCCGCCTGCAGCACTTTCGGGACCCAAATAGAGGTGTGGTGTAGTCTGAGAGAGGAGGCCCGGTGATGTTCGCGGGACCATTAGTGCCCATTAGGGAGCAGCGCCCGCTCCGGAACCTCTGGGCCATTATCCAACGTCAGACTAATGGCTCACCACCCAAACAGGGTCACCAGGCCTCTGCCCACCGCCATTCCCTGGAACCCCTGCCCATGTCCAGCCTCCATCCAGCATGTGGGAGGAGGAGGGTTTCCTGGAGGGAAGCGGTTTCAATGTTCAGAGGAGGTTCCCTTGCCCCAGAAGGTGTGCAGGGATAATCCCCACCCCAGAAGATAATCTTCACTGACAGAGAAGGGCTGAGAGGTGGGACATACCACCTTGCTCTCTGCCATGGGGACCCTCCTGGGTAGCAGGTAGGGTGGAGCCAGGGATCTCCCAGGCCCCTAACCACCCCTGTGTGTGTGTGTGTTTTCAATTGAACCCAGGGACACTTTACCACTGAACTACATCCTCAGCCCCCACCCCTTTTAATTTTTTTTTTTCTTTTTTGTTCTGGGGATTGAACTCAGGGGCACTAAACCACTGAGCCACATCCCCAGCTCTATTTTGTATTTTATTTAGAGATAGGGTCTCACTGAGTTGCTGAGTGCAGAGAGCACAGCATTCCCTGGGAGGGCCAAGGAGCCACCCAGCCACTGGCTTCCCAGGATTAGGGAGGGGCTGCCACCCTGTTATTTTAACCCTCTTCTTTTTGCCTCAGAGCATATCCTGCCTGGCTTTGAACTAATAATCCTCCTGCCTCAGCCTCCTGACCCACATGGATTACAGGCATGTGCCACCGCACCTGGCTCATTTTTAATTTTTTGAGACAGGGTCTTGTTAAGGTGCCCAGGCTGGGATTGAACTTGATATCCTCCTGCTTCAGTCTCCCAAGATGCTGGGAAGTGTGGACCACTGTGCTCAGCATGTGTCTTGACCTCCATCCTGTTTGCGGCTAGGAGACAGATCACCCCACTCCTTGAAGAACTAGCAAAATAAAGTTCCTCCCTATGGCTCAATCCTAAGGCTTCACCACCCACCTCCCTATCCCATCTTCTGAAACTCCAGACCCTTTCCCATTCCCACCTGCACGCCTTAACTGTGCCTTTCCATCTGCTCCTCTCTCTTGCCTCTCACCTCCATCACAGTGCCCTGCTGGCTTGAGTTTTGCCTGGAGAGGAGGCCTAGGAGGATTCACCATGGGTCACCCTTCCCTATCTTTGCTGTTCCAGGATGTCCACTCTCTGTGTATCTCACTCATTCCTGTTATCCCTGAGAAATGGTCAACTCAGGTCTTCTCTGGCTGCCTTTCTTTATTCTGTCCCTGATTTGCGGGGCACCTGCTTCCTTTGTTACCCATGCCCTTTGTGGCCTAAGATGTTTCCTTGTTATTGTGACTTTCCTTGGTGCTTCTCAGCTCCCTTATTGCTTTGGGAACTCTGATTGCAGTGTCCTGTGATTCATTCTTGTTTTTTGTGCCCCTGTTCCCCATCTTCAGTCACAGGCTAGAGGATTCAGCTGAGTCGTGGGCTGCAGAAGGCCAGTTAGGTCAGCGAAGGCCAAAATTGATATGGAGTCAGCCCTACTGAGGATGGAAAAGGTCTCTGAGAGACCCAGGGCCTCTCCTGACCTTTCCAACCCTGCAGCCTGGAGGTTTTCTATCTGCTGCTTCCTTTCACTCTAGTGTGGCCACAAAGCTAAGGCCTGCAAAGCTATAGCTAACCAGACCTGGCACCATCCTGGCAGGTGTGGTATGGGGGGTATATGGTGGACACACTGCCCATACTCATCCTCATGGTCTCCAAGGGCAGCAGCACCATATGGGTCCAGGAAAGCCAGTCAGAGGCCAGGCAGGCAACCTCTGCACAGGCAGATAGATGGAGGTGGCTGGCCAGGCTGGAGCCCATGGCAGTGTCAGCCAGGAATTGCAGAGGAGGGTGAGGGTAGAGAGCCTCTCTGCAGCCTCAGCCTAAGTGGCTTTTAGGGGTAGTTGCTGGGGTGTGGGCACCCAAGGGGCCACAACCCAGAAGCTGCTCAGAGGCAGGCCCTGTGCTTAGGTGGGGGATGGGGATACCAGCCAAGGGCCCTGGAGAAAGAAGAGGGAGAGGCAAGGACTAAGCTAAGCCTGCTTCTCCTGGCCACATGGGGAATTGTCTGGGCTGGCTGAGCCTGACTTCTGGGAACCAGGTATGTGAGGGGCTGTGGGCTGAGGAGGGTCTGACTGTGAGTGAGCCTGGGACTCAGCTATTTTCTTCTGCCAGAGAAGATGCTCCTTGGTGAAGTGTGTCTCACAGTCACAGGCCCAAGTGGAGCTGGGGACCCTTGTGTGGGTCTCTTCCTTCATCAGACCTCAGTTTTCTGGTCTGTAAAGTGGCCTGGGTCCCCTAGGGTTTTTCAGGTAAACTGCACTCTGAGAATCATAAGGAAGCATATGAGTCTCTTCCACGTGCTTATTACTTTCCTGTCCAGGAAAGGTGGAGGGCTGGGGCAGGGGAGAGGAGACCTGCCTGCATTTGCTTAATGTGGGCAGCTGACCAGAGCTCCTGAGATCAGAGGCCAAAGTCCTCAGTGCTGTTCATGCCAGGTCAGCAGGAAGGCAGCAAAGACCCTCTGTGTCAGCCAAACAAACTAATGTCCCCCCAGGCAGGGAACGTGTGAGGGGGTGGGAGTGTTTAACCTACAGCAGAGCAGAGAGCTCAACATTTCCTGGGGGCCACTATCCTGGGACTCTGCTGGGCAAAGGCAACCCTGGCAGAAGGAAGGACCCAGATGGGCTCTAGACTCAGGGATCAGAGAGGGAGCAGGCACTGGAGGTCCTGTGGGGTGGGGAGAGCGCTTCCTGAGGAGGAGAGAGAGGGAGATGGCCCGTGCTCTCTGGTCCCTTCCTGGGATCCCATAGCCTGGTGACTCTTTCTCTAAGCTGCTCCCCATTGCAGGAGGCTGCCTCAGTGCGGCTGCACACAGGTGTCCAATAAAGGTCCCTGGAATAGAAGGCGAAGGTGCTGGAGTTGGGGAGGGTGCTCTACTGGGGACCAGAAAGGAGGGGTCCGAGTGATTCCAGGAGTGCCTGGGGCCCAGGCCGACAGGACACAGAGGCAGGGACCTAGCCAGCAAGTCTTGGACCAGGGCGGGGGCAGCGGGCAGCGGGTGGCGGGGGCGGGGAAGGGGCGGGCGCGGGGGCGGCGCCGCAGCCGGAGCCGGGCCGGGGCCCAGGCTGGAGCAGGAGCCGGAGCCGGAGCCGGAGCTGGAGCTCGAGGTGACCAGAGCAAAGCGGGAGCCGCTGAGGCTGCCTCGGGTCCCCAGCGCCCCCGCCCGCGCCTCCGCGCCCCCGCCCGCCTGCCTGCCGGCTGCGGGCGACTGGCGGTGAGCGCTGTGGCCAGCCGGGGAGGGCCGGGGGGCAGCGGGCGCCATGGCCGAGCCGGAGTCGCTGCGGCCCCGCTTATGCCGCCTGGTGCGCGGCGAGCACGGCTACGGCTTCCACCTGCACGGCGAGAAGGGCCGCCGCGGGCAGTTTATCCGGCGCGTGGAGCCGGGCTCCCCCGCGGAGGCGGCCGCGCTGCGCGCTGGGGACCGCCTGGTCGAGGTCAACGGCGTCAACGTGGAGGGCGAGACGCACCACCAGGTGGGTGCCCGCGCCCCGCCCCCGTCCCCTCCTGGGGGGCGCGTCCCTGCCATGCTGGCCGGCGTGCCAGCCACCGACCCTCGGCTCCGCGCTGCCTGCTAGGGGTTCCCTGGGTTCCGGTGGGGATCGGGGACGTGGCCTGGCGGGCCTCTGGCTGGGAAGCTCAGTCCTGCACCGCGGTGGAGGGGCATCCTGGCAGGGAGGGGCCGCAGTGCGGCTGCTCGGGCTCTTCGCTCTCATTCCTTTGCTCCTTCCGCTGGTTTTAGCTTCATGTGCCATGTGTTGGGGGCTCAGGCACCTTGGAGTGACTGGGCGCGAGTACTTTCCTGTGAGAGTGTGCGTGTGTGTGTGTGTGTGTGTGTGTGCACGCGCGAGCGTTCGAGCAGGTCTCTAGGGTCATGCATATATATGGAACATGTCTGTCAGTGTACACTGGGGAGGGAGGGGGTACACCTGTGTGTGACAGTGCTGGGTGAACATGCCTGAATGCCAGGTGTGTGTGCATGCACGCACATATCTGCATGTCTGGATGTGTGTCCTCAGCAGTGTCCACAGACCGTGTGCCAGAGTGCATCCTGGCCAGCTGTGTCTGGGCCCAAAGATCTAGGCCCTGGTGACAGCACATTCCTTGGCTCCCTGGAGGATGTTTTGTCTCCAGTAGGGGTCACTGCCGCAGCCCCTGCCTCCTGCAGCTGGAGGAAGGCTAGGCAGGCAGGCTCTCCTCTGAAGGTTCTGGCCTTAGTGTCTCTTTATCTCCCACCTCAGACCCTGGCTGGAGTGCAACCTCCCTCTACTCGTTTTGTTTGGGGTCCTCTGTGTCCCTCACCGGGCCTGTGTATGTGGCCAGTCCTGGGGTTTGGAGATAACAGGCTGGGACAAGAGCTTAACTCCTATCTTCCCAGGGGCCCTGTTTATCCATCCATCTACCTGGCATCCTGCCTTCCACTCAGAGCATGAAGTGGATATGGCTGTTTGCCAAAGAAGGGTGGATGTGGGGACTAGGAGTTTGGTCCAGACAGCAGAGGAGGGGCTGGCAGAGCTGGCACCCTGCTTCTGTTTAGCACTCACAGACACCGTGGCCCCAAGTACCTGCTCATCTGAAGTGTCTGGGGTGCTAGTCTCTAAAAACTTCATACACACAGAACCATGTTGAACCCTCCCTACTGCCTCAGAAGAGGTATAGCTGCAACCCGCATTTTTTTTTTGGTACCAGGGATTGAACTCAGGGGTGCTTAATCACTGAGCCACATCCCCAGCCCCCCTTTATTATTATTTTTTATTTTGAGACAGAGTCTCCCTAAGTTGCTGAGGCTGGCTTTGACCTTGAGATCCTCCTGCCTCAGCCTTCCAAATTGCTAGGATTACAGGCACGTGCCACCACACCTGGCTTGCAACCCTTGTTTTACAGATGAGGAGACTGATGTTCAGGGATGTGGGTGACTCATTCAGGTTGAATGTTAGGAAGCAGAAGATTGCCGGTCCTCCTGCCTCTCTCTGGATCATGGGGAGAGAGAAAGGACATTGGGGGGCCTGGTGAAGATAGGCCTGGATCACACCTTCCTATCTGTCAACATTTGCTCAGTGAGCAGTGGGGGGCATCATCTGTTTGCCCCCAGATGGTGAAGGGGGGTAGGGTTGTTTTCCTCCCTCCCCCTGTGTCAGTGGGTGTTCCCCTTTTCCCCAAGGGTGCACACTGACACCCTGTATGCTCCATGGATACCTGTGTGTTCAGCATAATTCACAGGCACCCACCTACACGCACAGCTGTAAAACAACACCTGTCCCACAGGTGCACCTACCCCTGTCCCTCTCATCTGCTGGGGCTGAGTTCTGCTTACCAGGATGTGTGTGGGTGCCTGAGCCAGAAACCCAAGTCTGCACTTCTCCACAGGACCCGCAGGAATGGGTCCATGGTCATGGTCTGGAGGGGAAGGGAGCCCTAGAGGCAGGGCTTCATTCCACAATTCACAAAGATACAGAAACAGGCCTAGGCACATCCACAGTGGGACCAAGGGAGACACCTCCCTCCCCCAAACCCAGATAGAGAGACAGACTTTGAAACAGACATACGCATGCATATGCACAGATGAAAATCTGAAACTCAGCTGCAGTCTTTGTTGCTAATTCTCCCTTCTAGCTGCACCCTGCACAGTCCCTCCTGGAGATGACCCTGGGCTGAGGGCAAGGCCCTGGGTGGACACCAAGCTCTTTCAGCCTGGGGCCTCATGTCAGGAACCCTGGGAGTAGAGGGAGGAAGCTGCTGGAACCTGGGGGTGGGGGGTGGAGCCCACTGGCCTCTTGGTCCAGCCACCCACCCCTGGCATAACGGCCTATGAGCCAGGGCCAGCCTGTGGTGCCACTGTCCATGTGCTGCCCAGGGTGCTGTCCGCTGACCCATTCCCACCCACCGTACAGGTGGTACAGAGGATCAAGGCTGTGGAAGGGCAGACACGGCTGCTGGTGGTGGACAAGGAGACGGATGAAGAGCTCCGCCGGAGGCAGCTGACCTGCACTGAGGAGATGGCCCAGCAAGGCCTTCCACCTGCCTGTGACCCCTGGGAGCTGAAGTCCGACTGGACACGAGCAGGCAGCCTCAGCTCTGATGCTGGCCAAAAGGTAAGGTGGGCTCTGCTCCCAGGGCCACACCGGCTTCTCCAAGGGCCACCATCTTGGTCTCTTGATGACAGCCCTTGCTTTTTATTTATTTTTTTTTTTATTTATTTATTTATTTTTTTTTTTAATTTTTTATTGTGGGTTGTTCAAAACATTACAAATTTCTTGACATATCATATTCCACACTTTGATTCTAGTGGGTTATGAACTCCCACCTTCACCCCATACACAGATTGCAGATTCACATCAGTTACACATCCATTGATTTACAAATTGCCATACTAGTGTCTGTTGTGCTCCGCTGCCTTTCCCATCATCCACCCTCCCCCCTCCCCACCTCTCCCCTCCCCTCCCCTCCTCTCTCTCTACCCCCTCCACTGTATAACCCTGAGGGTCTCCTTCCATTACCGTGCAATTTACCTTCTCCCTCCCTTTCCCTCCCACCTCTCATCCCTGTTAAATGTTAATCTTCTTCTCCTGTTCTTCGTCCCTACTCTGTTCTTAGTTACTTTCCTTATATCAAAGAAGACATTTGGCATTTGTTTTTTAGGGATTGGCTAGCTTCACTTAGCATAATCTGCTCTAATGCCATCCATTTCCCTGTAAATTCTATGATTTTGTCATTTTTTAATGCAGAGTAATACTCCATTGTGTATAAATGCCACATTTTTTTTATCCATTCGTCTATTGAAGGGCATCTAGGTTGGTTCCACAGTCTTGCTATTGTGAACTGTGCTGCTATGAACATCGATGTAGCAGTGTCCCTGTAGCATGCTCAGCCCTTGCTTTTTAAAAACAAAACAAAACAAAAACAAACAAGAAACCCTTTATTTTATTTATTTATAAGTGGTGTTGAGGATAGAATCCAGCCCTCACACATGCTAGGCAAGTGCTTTTCCGCTGAGTCTCAGCCCCAGCCCGCAGCCCTTGCATTAGGTAACCTCCACAAGCCTATTTTTCCTGCCTCTTGAGGCTTCTGCTCCAGTGCCCACCATCTGTGCCCCTTGTGACTGTCCTCTAAGCCCCTCAAGCTATTGCTTCTGCTATCAGCCCTCTCCCCTCCAGGCCGGGTGGCTGAGGGGCCCTGGAAGCATTTGCTGGCATATTCCTGGCCCCTGTGTACTCAGCTCTGTGCCTGTATTGGGTTTGTCCTTGTCCTGCTGAGAAGTCCATGTGTGCTGTCAAGGCCTGTAGGGGCTGGCCTCCTTTCTGGCTGTGCCATAGTTGGAAGAGTAAGAACACACTGACCTGGGGACCAGCCCAGATGGGGCTGGGGTGGCCATGGGACTGGGTCTGGGGCAGTCTGCTCAGCTCTGAGCAGTGTTGTCACCTCTGGTGCTGATTTCTGGTGGGGCCTCACAGGGAGTTTCTAGGGTATACCCTCTCCTCCCCTTCTCCATATAAAAGAGGTCACCTAGGAGCCCCCATGCTGTTCCCTGTGCCCTTACTGGGTAGTACCTTCCCCTCATCCCTAACCCTCTTCCAGGCCAGGAGACCTGGGAAAGAACAGGAGAGGGCCTGCTCCCCCCCTAGGTAGCCACCAGGACAGCACCTTGAGGCCAGGAGAAAGGCCTTTTAGAAGCCCTAATATTATTGTCCTTCATTCCCTCACTCTTTTTAAAAAACAAATCCCTTTAGGAGATTTAAGTTAGGAGTTTCCTGTGTTCCCCTTTAAGAACCACTGGCCCGGTTGGGGGAGTTATCAGGGATGAAGTTTCTGGTAGTGAAGGGGACCTTGACATCTGCCTTTTCCCTTTTCCAAATGTCTCCCACTTGAGCTGGCTGTGCCTGTGAGCTGCACCCTGTGGGGCCTGGCTTGGAGTGGGGAGGTAACCTTCCTAGTGGAAAGCCTGGGCAAAGGCCTGGGCAGGGGACCCATGGGATGCTCTTGGTTCTCTGTGACTTGAGGGCAAGTGCTGGAGGCACTTAAGTCTAGACCTTGTCCTTGGGCTGCCCATGGTCAACAGTCTTTCAGGAGAGTCCTTGCCGATGGCTGGCTGGCACTACAGGGGCAGCATGGTCCTAGGCCTGCATTTTTTCCAGCTGAGGACTGGAGCCTCCCTCTTTCCCAGGCACCTTCTCCCTCCTCCCTCCAGAGGAAGCTTCCCCCCCCCCCCCAGGCATTTGTCCATTGATTTAGACACAAATGGCTGAGTTCACCTTCCTGTGGAAAAATCCACCCTCTGGCTTTATCTGGAGGTGGGGTGGCTGAGGCACCCTGTCCTTGGGTGGGACCTTCCCCCTTTTCACTATTTCAGGCTCTGGGGGCTGCAGGAAACCCTAGGAGGGGGCTTCCTCTGAATTATTTTTAGAGAAACAAAGGGGGGTGCAATAGGCATGTCCTTCTGTAGATGGGGCAGCCTGGGGAAGAGACTCCAGGAGGTCAGGGGAGCCCATGGAAAGGTCACCCCCTGGAAGGAAGAATGGGGCCTCAATGTGACCTCGGCAAGCCAGGCTTAGAGACTGCCCACTTGGGTTGGGTGCAGGGAGCCTGGGAGGGCATTTTACCTGCAGAGGGACAGACCTGGGAGGTGTGTGTGCATCTGCTCTGGTGCAATATGGGGTCCCATACTGGTTCCCTATGTGAGGCGAGGGCTGCTCATACCCTTTCTGGGACTCAGTGTCCTCTGTCCTGGGCCAGGGCAGGGGAGAACACTGGTGTGGTCTGTCCCTCCCTTGGGGGTGTGCAGGCGTAGTCAGTGGTGACTCAGCTCTGGCCACACTGGGCCGGGGGTGGCTGCAGCTGCAGTGCAGCTGATCCTAGCAGTGACGACAGGGACAGCCCCCAGACAGGACAGCTAGTGGTGCCAGGGCCAGGGAGGCAGTGACAGACCCTGGCCCTCTGCCTCCTCATCCCCAGCCATGCCCCAGTGCCCTCTTTGGAGGACTTTGATGGCAGACCTTGTGAGGATAACTGGGTGTTGCAGGTGGCTGCAAGGTGCAGGATGTAGTACCTATAAGAGCTTCTGGGCTCCTTGGGTCCGGCTGCTGTCTCTGCTCCTGTGAGGCAGAGCTGGACTGTCTTCTGTCCCCCTCCCTTGCATCTCTGCCTCCCCATCCCTGGGTCCTGGAGCAGGGCAGGGCTGTCCAGCAGCTTCCTTCCTTCCCTTCTTGGGACGGAAACACAGCCGGGTGAGGGAGCGCCGGGCTGGAGCCTTGGCAGGGGAGGGGGCTTGGTTACCACCCCATTCCCCAAAGTGACTCAGCCCCCATGTCCCCACCCATCCCTTGGGAACCTGGGCCGCAGCAGGAGGTAGATAAGTGGGGTGGCAGCCTGCGCTGGCTGCAGAGCTCAGGCCACTCCGGGCCAGATGCCGGCTGCCTGCCACTCCTGTTGTGCCTCTCATGGCCCGCTCTGGGAATGCCACACCACCCGCCCGGGCCCCAGGAGCCCCTCCACAGAGCCCACCCTGGGAGCTTGTGCAGGTCAGGTGGGGTAGGGGCAGGGCTGGGCTGTGAAGACCCCAGGTGATGGAAAGGGGACTTGGGGACCTTGTGTAAGTAGGCTGAACCTTAAGCAATAATGGGGGCCTTTCTCTGCCAGGATTGGTGAGTCATCATCGAGGGGGGGCACAGCCTGGCTCCCAGGGTACCCCCATGTCAGTCTCTTTGTCTGGTCACAGGGTTAGTGGGGGGACCAGGGTTTGACAAGTCCCGGTTTGCCTAGCTCTGTGGTCATCAGGCTTGGAGCCCGTGGGAGCCAGAGGGCCTGGCGGGAGGGAGGCGGCAGGAAGCGTGCAGGAGCCAGGGCAGGGAGGAATGTTAGCAATGCACCTCTCCCACTTCTCTTGGCCCCCCACACTTGCTTACTCTGTAGCTACCCCCCTCCACCCTGCGGGCTGCCAGCTGGGGCCCCCTGAATGCAGTCTTTCTACTTGAGGGTCTGGTGCCAAGACTGATGCCTCTTGAACCTGCTTCTAATGAGAGGAATTTAGGTTAATGTTAGAAGGAACCTCTTGGCCTGAACAGTGAGGCTGATGTTCTGGAGTGAGGCAGGGGGATGGCCAGAATGGCCCTGAGAACACGGATGTGGCCTCATGGCCCCAGATACCCGGCCAAATCCTGCTTCCTGTTTGGGGGCCTTGAGAGACCCCGCCCTGCAGGCCACTGCGGAGGCCGTGGGAAGAGGCTGCAGGGGCCAACACCATGGGCCCTGCATTTGTCTGTGTGTTCATGAAGCGGATTTATAAGTGTGAGATTGGGTGTGATGGGCCTGCATCCTGAGTTCCCATTCCACACACAGCCATGTCACACTTCCATGCTCTGCCTGCTCTGCCCTCCTTTGCACCCTGGCCTACTGGCTGCTCCAGATTGTGCTCTGACAGAGTCCCTGAGGGGCATTTCTGTGGGGAAGTGTCAAGGTCCTAACCCAGAGCTCCATACCTGTATCTTTGGATGTGTCTGGGAGAGAGGATGAGTCTAGGTGGTGGGGTCCTGGAGATTAAGAGGTCTCACATCCCTGAATTCAGTCCATGTTGCCCAGATGGGGGACTGAGGAGCAGGTGGTGGCCATACAGTGAGGATTCAGAGGGTGGGCAGGGGATCCAGACAAGGGGTTTGGCCAGACTTTGGGGCCAGGGAAGGGATCCTGAGTGGGTGTAGGCTGGGCAGGAGGAGGGTGTTCAGAAGAGGGAAGACAGCATCTTACTCAGAGACAGACACTCCCACAGTGGGAAGCTGCCCAGACAGACGTTCCCAGTCAGACTTGGGGTTCAGTATGAGCTCTAAGGCTGGGCAACTGGAGTGGTCAGGGATGGTCTGGGCTTCAGTGGAACAAGTACCTAAGCCTTAGAGACCTTCCTTGTAATCTGAGGGGCACTCCCTTCATTTTGCAACCAGCCCTAGTCTGTTCCACGGTCCCTAGCATGCTGGAAGGTGGAAGGTGGGGGAAAGACCCTGGTGAGCACCCTCTGGCCACCACACTCTCACCTGAACAAGTCCTCAGAAACCCGAGCTGCTACCCGCCCACTCACCCCGGCCACCTGCCATGTGTAACTGAGCACCCACAGCCACTGGCCATTTAGTGCTACAGTCACTGCCCTGGCCCCTGCCTGGGTCTGGGTGGGGGGTTATTGGATTGGCCCCTGCCTGCATAGCCCCTGGCCCTGAGCCCTACTGCAGGATGCCAGAGGTAAAGTGAGCGGGGGTTCCCTGTGTGTATCCTGAGTGCTTCTGTATCACTGGCAGGGAGGCAGGCCCTGGACCTCACCTCCTGCCCCAGCCCCTTCTTCCTGGGCTCTTGTTGGGGGCGGGGGTAGTTGGGGGAGCTCCAGTTTGTGCTGGAATGTGAAAACAAACAGCATCACAGCCACAGCCACCGCAACCAGCCTCTCAGAGGTCAGGGAAGAAAAAGCAGCTTTCCAGGCTTGGGGGCAGGGAGGGAGCCAGGCGAGGACTGTGGGCACAGACATCCCATCCCACAGGCCTCTTCCTCCAACCCCAGTCAGTGTGCAGGGCTGCCTCAGGATGATGGATTTTCCCAAGGACTTGGCAAGGCAGATCTGCCATCAGAAGTCTTCACGTTTGGAAGCTTTAATTTCGCCCAAGATCTCTTAGCTAGAGTTCAGTCAAAGGCAGAGTGAATCACTGAGGCACATGGAATGTTGTCACTGAGCTCTGGGGCTTGCCATGGGGGCATGATGCTGAGTTCAGGACTTGACAGTGGGCGGGATCCAGTGGGCATTTATGGGGGCTGAGAGGTTGGGGCCAGAGCCTGATCCTGTGCGCTGTGTGCCCGCAGGATATCAATGGGGCCCCCAGAGAGCTGCGCCCTCGGCTCTGCCACCTGCGAAAGGGACCCCAGGGCTATGGGTTTAACCTGCACAGTGACAAGTCCCGGCCTGGTCAATACATTCGCTCTGTGGACCCAGGCTCGCCTGCTGCCCACTCTGGCCTCCATGCCCAGGACCGGCTCATTGAGGTACCATGCCTGAGGCTTCAGTGTGTTTCTGAGTGCCCTTGTCCTTGTATGTCTGCATGTCCCTGTGTGTGTGTGTCCCTGCCTGGACCCTAAGTCCTTGCAGGAGTAGGGGAGACACTGGGAACCTGAGCTGGCACTCCTCTTGCTGGCTCCGCTGGTGGTGGCTTTGATGAATATTTGATGGCACACTTGGCTGGGTGTGGGGCTGGCAGGGCCCCTCAGGCCATGCTGACCCTGTCACGGTGGCAGGTGAACGGGCAGAATGTGGAAGGGCTGCGCCATGCTGAGGTTGTTGCCCGCATCAAGGCACGGGAGGATGAGGCCCGGCTACTGGTGGTGGACCCTGAGACGGATGAACACTTCAAGCGTCTGCGGGTCACACCCACTGAGGAGCATGTGGAAGGTGGGCCTCTGCCCTGGGGTGCAGGGTGTGGTCAGTGTGGGGACAGACAAGCCACTGACATGCTATCCCCACAGGTCCACTGCCATCACCAGTCACCAACGGGACCAGCCCTGCCCAGGTGAGAGGGTGGGTCCAGGCAACCACAGTGGTATCTCTGGGGCCCCAGGCCTGATGGAGGCCCTCTCCCCTGGAGATCTCTGCCCTAGAATAGGTGTGGTTGAGACCCAAGTCTGGCTCAGGCACTCCAGCTTTAATGCGCACTGAGGATCCCTTCTTGGGTCAGCGCCATGCCCTGGTCACATAAAGAGTGCTGGCAGGTGGGTACCTGTGGTCCAGGGCCACTGTCCTCTGTGTTCCCTCTCCCTGCACTACCTAGCTACTGAGTCATCCCTCAGTTCCCATTTCCTGGGAAGGTGGTCCTGGCTTCACCCCCGGTGACACTTGTGGAGCTGATTCCCACACCACAGCTACCCTTCCCACATAGTGGCTACCTGCCTGTTCATAGCTGGGGTACCCAGCACTCTGCCCAGTGGTAGAGATGTGCTGTTTCTACCAAAAGAGGAACAGATGCAGCTGTGGTGTGTGTGCAAAGTATGCACAAGCATGTGTGTGGCTCCCTGGGTGGGGTCCTTGAGGCCATGATTGCCCTTGGTTTCCCAGCTCAATGGTGGCTCAGTATGCTCATCTCGAAGCGACCTGCCAGGCTCGGACAAGGACACTGAGGTAACTCTGTTACCACGCTCACACAATGGGGTGCCAGAGGCCTTGCGGGTGGGTGTCTGTGGAGATATCGGCTTGGGCAGTGGGGCCACCACCTTCAGGAAAGCCTGCTGAGACTGCTGCCCCACCCTACCAAGCAGCCTTTGGCTTGAGCTCCCTGGGAAGACTGCCCAACTGTGGCACCAGCCTAGGGCTTACTGTTGGCACCCTGCCCACCCTCAGGACGGCAGTGCCTGGAAGCGGGACCCCTTCCAAGAGAGTGGCCTCCACCTGAGCCCTACAGCAGCTGAGGCCAAGGAGAAGGCTCGAGCCACACGTGTTAACAAGCGGGCACCACAAATGGACTGGAACCGGAAACGTGAGATCTTCAGCAACTTCTGAGCCCCCTCCTGCCTATTTGGCCCCTGGGCCTCAGGCCCCATCCAGAGCTCCCCAGGCCTCAGTGGACTGGAGGGTGGTCTCACCACCTCCAGAAACCAACCTGTGCCCCAGTGAGTCCCTTCCTGCCCACTCCCCACCAGGTGCTGGGTCCTGCTGCAGCAATATGGGGGAAAGACAGACAGTGAGAGAGAGAGGGCAGAGTGTTCGTGGCTGAGGGCCTTTGCTGTCCTGCCCCGGGGCCTGCTGACTGGAAGGAATTCATGTTTTTGCTTTTTTTCCAAAAAGATTTCCAGCTCCACACATGTTTCCACTTAATTCCAGAGTCCCCTTCCCCCGCCCCCCTTGGGACTCACTCTCTAAATAATTGCAATAAAACAAACCTTTCTCTGCAAAACATTTCCTCCCCACTCCCTCAGCAGCACCATCCTGCGTGGGAGCCCAGGGACTTCTAGGGGACAGAGAGTCAGGGGCTTCCAGGCTGTGCTTATGCTGGTTTTGGGGAAAGACTGGGGAGCAGGATGTGCCTATAGGCGCTGCCTGTTCTGCCTCAACCCTACCCTCCCTTGAGTGGGGTAAGTCAATAGGCCAGGCCCCCCACCCAGCCATCCCTGCATTGTCCCATCCCACCAGGAGTGTGGAGTGCAGGGCCTGGGCTAAGGGGCCCGAGGATAGAGGCCCCATGCCCCCAGGAGGGTGGCAGGGTGGCCTCTGGACAGGTCCCTCTTCCTGTACCACAACTCCCAGGCCTGGGGAATTATGGGCACGCAAGAGCTGCTCCTAGGAAGGACCCTGGGCTTCTGGGCTGGGCCCCAACCTGGTGCCCACTCCCAGGGACATCCTGTCCACTCTGCCCTTTCCTTGGTGCCCTGGACCCCTGAACCAACTGACCAGCCCCGCTCTTTGCCTTGTAAGCCATAGCGCACGTGCGCCCTCAGAATAAACAGGACTTGCCTCGATTCCGTGTCTTTCCTCAGTCTTCGGTTGTGGGGTGGAGGAGTGAGGCCCATTCTAGGGGACTAAGAGGCCAAGGCTGCTGCTGAGTTCCTGCTCCCACTTGGGGCCTCCATACCTCTAGGACCTCTCTCAATTCCTGTGGCACATTCTGGGCCCATGCCCCCCCCCCTCCCCACACACCTGGCAAGGACCAGATTCCCTTACCCTCCTATTAGGACATCTGGGCTTGCGATATTCCACGGATTCCCCTTTGCCTTGCACAGGTCCCTCCACCTCCAGCAGGTACACACAGGTCAAGCCTTGGGCTCTGGGCTCAGGTGGCTCTGTGTGGTGGGGACCTTGCAGAGGCTCCCAGGGAACACCTGTTTCAGGAGCAGGCGGAGTCTGGGTAGAGAGGCCTGCAGCCCACGGGTGAAGGAATGTGCAGGCCAGAAGGACACCTCCCCAGTGGCTTCCCAGCAGCTGACTACAGCTGGCATTTACCACTTCCTACCTCCTGGGTTCATGTTTGCTACTCTCCCTGCCCCCACTAAGTACAAAGCATGGCTTCCCAGGAAACCCTGCTTCAGACACGCATATGTATGCATACACACGTTCTTTGGCTTGCTCTTATACCTTAGGGACAGAAGTCAGCCAGACTCCAACTGCAAATACCTCCCCTCTTTATTTCATAGGCTGCACCCCACACCCCTGAGCGAGATAACAAGGCACTTCACAGATAGAAGCCAAAGCAACACAGCCCACAGCCCTCAGAGGCCCTGGGCAGTGGGGCACAGGGCCTGGTTGAGACAGGCCTGGCAGCGAGGGTGGACAGGCAGACAGGTCTGCTGGCCAAAACCCACCAAGAGCCCATTGATCTCGCTCCACAGCTCCCTGTGGGGATAGAAGCTGGGTTAGCAAAGAGGGAGAGAGACAAGGCCCTGCCTACAGGGACCCCACCCTGCCTTACCTGGGCAGCCACTCTTCCAGGGCGGCTCGGGTTGCCTCTGGGGACTTGGTCGGCCTCTGGGTCCATCTCAGTCGGTTGGCGATTCTGTGCACATGTGTATCCACTGCTACTTGGAAATGGGTGGGGTAAATAGGGTCACACTCTGCCAGATGGACGGCGCCCCTTGTCCCTCCCCATATCCTTGAAGGCATCTTTTGGCTGAGCCCCCAGGCCTCCAAGCAGTGGAGGGGGACGACAGAACCCTGGCTTCAGGTATGAGAGCAGCTGCTGCATCTTGGCTGCCAAGCTGGACCTGGAGTTCTCTGGAAGAGTGTGGGCAATTCCTTCAGGCATCCTTTCCATCACTGGGAGTGCCTAGGTGTTCTCTGCTTTGGGCTGACCCATTCCCACCAATTCTGGTGCAGCTGGGAAGGTGGAACGGTATCTGCTTTGGGCTATGTATCACCCCAAAATGGTAACAGCTAGCTGGGGGTCAGACTCTGCACCAAAAGATCTACCAGTCTCAGCTCAGTAAATCTTTACAAGGCAAAGCTGAGGCTGGGCAGGGTTCTTACTCTGAAGTGCTCTCTAAGGTTGTAGCTCAGTGGTAGAGGCATGCTTAACATGCAGGAGACCCTAGCACACTAAATAAAACAAAGAAACAAACACAAACTGTGTGTACTCTTAGCCTGCAGCCTCACCAGGACCAAGGGCTGACCCAGGAAAGGCCCTGCCTTTCCGCCTCTGCTTTATCTCCCTGTACAGGCACTGGCTGCAGGCACCAGGTGGCGTGGCAGTGGCTTGGCTTGGTAGGCTGGCCTGAGGTCACTGCTGTAGAGCCAGCACCTGCCACTACATCCGTCAATGACAGAACAGGGAAGGCAGCCCGGTCTACTGCAGCTGCAGTCCACCTGGGCTTCAGCCCCTGCTCCTGTCAGCTGGCCACTGCAGGGGCTCAGCCCAGCTCCAGGTCTCCACCCAGCTACCCTGGCAGCAGTAGCCATGGCCCTGCTTCTCCAGGGCTTTGCCAGTGAAAGGCAATCCCTGCACCTGCTCCCTTGCCTTACTGCTAACTGCCTGGGGGGGCAGGCAGAGCAAAAAGGCTAAGGGCTCCCGTCCTGGGGTTTCCTCCTCTGTAAGAGAGGTGACCATGCTCCTTAGGACACGGCATGCAAGTCTTTGGTGTATCTGTGTGATTAAGGAGGGCTACTGCTTTACCAGCTTTGAGTCAAAGCTCAGAGAGGCCAAGTACTTGACCTGAGATTGCTCAGGTGGGAGAGGCACAACTAGAACCTGCTCCTGGACCCCATGGCTCTGGCTTTTCATTTTAAAATTATTTTATTTTTTACAGTGCTGGGAATTGAACCCAGGGGTGTATTATCACTGAGCTACATCCCCAGCTCTTTTGATAGGATCTTGCTAAGATGCCCAGGCTGGCCTTGAAGTTGTGATCCTCTCCCCTCAGCCTCCTGAGGGTTACAGGTTTACATCACACTGCACCTGGCTCCCAGCCTTTAAAAATTCTGAGACAGGAGGGGCTGGGGATATAGCTCAGCTGGTAGAGTGCTTGCCTCGTATACAGAATGCCCTAAATTCAATCTCTAGCACCGCACACACCAAAAATATATATTGAAGGCTGGGGATATAGCTCAGTTGGTAGAGTGCTTGCCTTACATGTACAAGGCGCTAGGTTCAATCTCCAGCACTACAAAAAAAAAAAAAAAAAAAAAGGAAAAGAAAAAGAAAAGTTTTGGGTTGGGGTTGTGGCTCAGTGGTAGAGTGCTTGCCTAGCATGCACAAGGCCCTGGTTTCAATCCTCAGCACCACATAAATGTAAAATAAAGATATTGTATCCACCTAAAGCTTAAGAATAAATATTAGAAAAAAAAATTGAGACAGGGTCTCACTAACTTGTTCAGGTTGGCCTTGAATTTGAATTTGCAATCCTATTACTTCAGTCTCTCAAGTAGCCAGGATCACAGGTATGTACCACTAAGCCTGGCTGGCTCTGGCTTTTTAACTGCCTCCCCTAAAAGGCAGGTCAGGTCTTCCTGCAGGGAGGGTGGCATTCTGACACTCCTGTTGTCTGCTGTTCCAAAGCAGTCCCTGTCTGGGCCATGGGCAGAGGCCCTTCCCCCATCTAAGTGCCCAACTACAATGCACTACTCCTAGGACACGGGCAGCTGAGGACAGTGCCCAGATAAGCTCAAGTATCTGGTGAGAGGTGGCAGTGGCACTGGGAGTTGAGGTAGGGGTGGGGACAGCCGCACTCCCGCCCAGGCCTGGTTCTTCCAGGGGTTGCTGATCTCCAGCCTCACCAGGTGGTAATCAGCTCCCAGCCAAAGCTCTGGGCCCCTAGCTACCCTCTTACTCTCCAGGGAGTGCTGGGAGACATTGTCAGCTCAGATACCTGCCAGAGGATATTCCTTTGGGCTGGATAGGAATTCCAGAGAAGCCTGGGGTCAGGGGTATACAGAAAGGGTGGGTCAAACCCTGGTTTCTGGGCAGGTTGGCCCCGTTATTATGCAGCTGCAGGAGTCCCAACTCCCTGGGCAAAGCTTCAAGAAGAAAGCAGCCCATGCTGGGCACAGTGGCATATGCCTATAATCCCAGCAGCTCAGGAGGTTGAGGCAGGAGGATCACAAATTCAAAGACCCCATCAGCAATCCCTGATATCAAAAAAAGGAGAAGAAAAAGAAGAAAGCAGCTCTGGGGTGGTGGTTAGGGTTCATCTTGGAGCCCCAGGGAGTTCTGTCTTCACCTAGCTACACAGAGGACCCTTCAGTGCCAGGAGGCAACACCCAGGAAGCCCCCCCCGCCCAGTCCATCTCCAATCCCAGGAGACAGCCAGCCATTCTTCCTGAGCCCCACTGCCTCCTCAAACTCCCTACTTGGCCATCTCACTCCTGAGCTTCCCTGTCCTGGCCTCTCTCACCTCATAGCTTTGGAGACACAGTTCCTTCTGTCTGGAATGTGCTTCCTTCTCTTGGCCTGGCTTATCCTGCCTTACCCAAAGCTCTCAGCTGCCATCTTCCCAGGACATCTTCTTAGATGCTCCCAGCCCAGGTCAGCTTCCACAGCAAATGCCATGCCCCAGGAGTGCTGCCACCACAGGTGAGGCTTTCCTTGCCCACTGTCCCTAGTGTGTACCATGGGCCTGTGGCTATCTCCAAGGGCCCCTTACAGAGTCCAGCACACAGTAGGTGCTCAGTAAATGTGAGTTCCTACCATGAATACCCACTGCTGGGTGGTGCTGGGTGGCTTAGCACAGCAAACACCTTTCTGACCCTTTGGGTTTAGTCCTGGATGAGAAGGCTAGAGCTCACATGGATTGATGTGGGGAGCCCAATAGCAGCCAGCCAACCTAGAGCTGGCCCCTCCCTCTTTGTGGCCACGCCACTCACCTATGCCTGATATGGTGCCCCAGGCCACAGCCATAGCCAAGTGTGCCATCTTGGGCCCAACACCTGGCAGTGCTACCAGCTCTGCCACAGAGGCTGGGATGTCCCCATCATAGTGCTGCTGCAGGATGGCGCTGGTCTGCTTGATGAATTTTACCTTGCTCTGAAAGATGGCAGGGAAGGATCAGCCCTGGGGGTATGTGCAGCCTGAATCGGGAGGACAAGACCCTGGGGAGACCCGCAAGTGCCCAGAGCTGCCTGTCACCTGCCCAGGACCCATGTAGAGGCACCTGCTCCCCACCTCCAGGTGGGAAGGAGCCAAGGGCAGTAGCAGGTAGGCCCAAGGCAATCCTAGCCCCTACCTCCCACCACAGGCCAATGATACATGTGTGTGGTCCAGCTTGTGTCCCTCTGCCTTGGCACTCCCTTTAGAGGCCTGGCCAGGCTGAGCAGGCCAGTTATTTCCAGGAGCTGGGCTTGGTAGCACCTGGGTCCTTAGGAAGGAGAGCTAGTGCCTGGGGCTCCCCCACCAGCTGTCAGGCCAGCTGGGTGGTTCCCATCCTGAGTAGAGAGGGCTATTTAAAACCTGTCTGACAGACTGCAGCCCACGCCAGTGCCAAAGGGAAGCAGCTCCACCCACCCACCACCCAGTGTTCTGTGGGGTGGGGGAGGGTCTCTTTGGAGATCTGGAGAGGGGGGTGATTCACTCAGGGAGACTTAGAGTAAACAAAAGAGAAGGCGAGGAAGGGCAGGGTAGGCAGCTGGGTGGGGAGGTAGAGGAAGGAAGCGGGGGCAAACAGGAAAGGCCAAGGAGCCCCAGGGACAAGTCACCAGCCCCATGGTCCAGCCCCCCCCCACCCAGCAAGTCTGTGGCTTAAGGGGCTCTTGTGGCCAGTGTCACCAGGCCCCTTTTGCCCTAGTCTGGGCTCACCCTCCAGAAGCCCACAGGGTAGATGAGCTCGCCCAGTGTGCTATCATCTGTCTGCAGTATGCTGTCCACTGTGAGGCCCCGGGCCCGCAGCCGCTGCATGGCACCTGCAGTCACCTGGTCTTTGGTTTGGCTGGAGAGCATTAGCGACAACAGCACCTGGTACCTCCGCACCTGCTTGTGAAATGACAGGGACAGGGGTAGTGGAAGGTCATGGGAACACCCCAGAGGCCAGGCCCTACCAAGTCCTCTACCCACCTTTACTTGTTACAGGGTATATGTGATACCTATCTTGTTACCTATAGCACGGGGAGAATAACTATCTGCCTGGTAGGGCCAGTGTGAAGACCAAATAAATTATCAAATTATCAAGGTAGTTAGAATTATATCAGGTGGATGGTCATTACTCAAGAATGACCAACTATGATCATTATTTTTTTTTTATATTTATTTTTCAGTTTTCGGTGGACACAACATCTTTATTTTATTTTATGTGGTGCTGAGGATCGAACCCAGTGCCCCGCGTATGCCAGGCGAGCATGCTACCACTTGAGCCACATCCCCAGCCCTATGATCATTATTGTTATTGCTTTGTTGAGAGCAACACTATCCATCTTATAATTAAGCAAACAAGATCAGAGATTCAAGTACCAAAGTCCCTAGGCAGCAGAGTAGGGATAGGAACTCCAGCTGGGCTAAGGCCCCAGGCACCAGGCCAGTGAAATACAGGGAACTTTCCCTCTCTCACATCACCATGCACCCCTGTGAATCAGCACTGTGCCCAGCAGAAAGCAGAGCACAAGGCCCCAAGCCATAGGTATCTCTGACTAGCTGAGTGGCCACAATGAAGCAGGTGATGCTGCCCTATGCTCTGGGTTACCAGCTAGTACATTACCCAGGGAGCTTCCTAAAAGGGAGGGTAACAGCCAAGAGCTGCCAGATCTCAGGCTGTCCCCTGCCAGAGGTGTGAGAGGAAACAAGCATCTTCTTTGCTTAGAAGAGAGGGGAGTCACTGAGTAGATGAGTCCCCTGCCTACCTTTGGAGGAGCGCTGGGGTCATAGCAATGCTCAGCCCCTAGCTGGTCCACAGGTGCATCCTTCTTGCTTCTCATGGTGCGGATGTTGGCTAGCTGCTGCTGCCATCGCTGGGGTTCCCAGGTAGAAACTTTGAGGGGCTCAGCTCCCTCATCTTTCTCACCATCAAAGGCCTCGTAAGCCACATGCAGCCTCTGTGTCTTCTGCTGACACTTCCCAGGCCTGTGTTTTTTTCTTCCTTCTGCAAAAAGTGTCACTCAGTTCCTTGTGCAGAGGCCACAGGTGACGATACCTTAAGGGAGCTGCCTATCTGCTGACTCCCTCCTCCTCTAAGACAGTGAGGGTGCTCTGCCCTCTGCAGGCAGGGCACCACAGCCTAACAGTGCACACACATTAGCACAACAGGAACAGCCTTTACCCTGATAACCACAGCATGTCTTTTTTCTTTTGGTGGCACAGGGGATGGAACCCAGGGTCTCATGCATTACAGGCAAGCTCTCTACCACTGAGCCGCATCCCTAGACTCCAACAATGTCTTCTAAGCTACATCCAAGAGAGCTTTCTAACGCCCAAATTGGAATGGTGTCACTCCCTTTTGGAACTCCTTTGCACTCGTGCTGAACTCAAAAGCTCCACCAACCTGGCAGGCATCTTAACCTTCCTGCTCCCACAGCACAAGTTCCCCCTGCATGCCTCTGCCCCAAAGGGTCTCCTTGCCTGGACTACCCCTGTTGCCTGTGTCCTACTCTGGCCAATTCTGCAGAAGTCCCAGCGGGAGAAACCCAGGGGTCTATTAGTCTCGCTGAGTCCCCTGCTTGGCACATAGTAGGTCCTTAATGGCTACAGGACAAATGCCACACTCTTTCCTGTTTCCTCTGAGTCACCGTCCAGCTGGGGGACAACACTTCTGGCTAGGTGTGTTCTTGGCACCTAGCCTGATTGAGAGGAAGCACGTCGGAGCACCGGTCCGCTATGCTCTACATTCATCCACATACACGTGGAGCGTCCTTGGGAGGCAGGGCGGTGGGATGGGAACTTTCTCGTTCGGGACCAGGTTGGGAGGGGGGCGGATTCGCCCAGAACCCAGTCCTGTGGACCCCCAACCTCTGGGCAAGGGCTAAGATAGACTCGCAGGGCCACACGTGGGGTTTGCAGGCTTGGCGATGTTATGGGTGAGGGTCCCGCAGCGCGGCCCGAGATCCTAGCCTGCAGCCCTGGTCCCCTTGCCCCCTTCTCCTCCCGCGGCGCTACCTGCAGCCACTTCTCGTCTCGGGATTGACGCGGGCTCCTCCCCACCCCCGCGTGGCCTGGTTCGTGGAGAGCGACTCCGGCTGCGCGTCAGCATCCTCAACCCCGCGCTCATGCCGGACCCTGCTGACTACCCTTCCAGGGGGCTCCGCGACCCAATCACGTGCTCGGCGCGCGCCCGGAACTACCGTTCCCGGCAAGCCCTGCGCAGGCCCGTGGAGTGTCCCCACCCCCGGAAGTGCGGGTCGCGCTTCCGGCGGCGGCTCGGGGGGCCGGGGGTGTGCACCCTTACCGCCGCGGGCGGCCCTGCGCGTGAGGGGCGCGCGGGGTAAGTGGCTCGGGGCGCCCTGATTCCTTCTCGGCCCGCGGTGTGGCCGGGCCGCGGCGGCCGCGGGCCCCGCAGCGCCCGGGCCTTGCCCGCGCCCGCCGCAGCCTGGCACCGGGGCTCCAAGCACACCTTGGCGTTAAGTTATGGCGGTGCGAGCGGATCTCCTTCTGGACGTCCCCGCAACCGCTCTTCCTCCACTCCGGGCGGAGAGCCGTGGCAAACGTCCGGACTCCTGGATGCCGCGGCACTGCCCTCGCCCTCTGCACCCGGGCAACTCGCTAGACCAAGCCGGCCTCTTCCGGGCATATTTGTGGCCGGGTCAGCTGGGCTGTGGTTGAGTTGACCTCAGGGGCTATAAAGAGGAAGGTTATGCCCACCAGAGACCTAGGGTCTGAGCGTCCGAAGGTCTGCAGCAGGGCAGGTGGGCGGAGCTGTCAGTCAGATGTCTCCAGCTTTTGTTTCTTCTGCACAGACGAGTCATCTCGTGCGCCCTTGCCCACCATGGCCAAGCCAGCAAGCAAAGATTCAGGCTTGAAGGAAAAGTTCAAGATTCTGCTGGGACTGGGAACACCAAGGCCAAGCCCTAGATCCGCAGAAGGCAAACAGACGGAGTTTATTATCACAGCGGAAATCCTGAGAGTGAGTGAGCTGCCTGCCCAGTAGGAAGGCTGGGTGGCCCTTCTCCATGTTCTGAAGATGGGTTGCTGGTGACCTTCTGCACGGGGCCACTCTGGAGTCATGTATATGTCCTTCTTCAGGACACAGTGTCAGGATCTCGGTGACCTGCTTTTTATTGCTTGTGTTAGAGATGCAAGAAAACCCAATGTAATTGATGTGGCCTGACTTCCACTTCACATTCACAGGTAGTTAGGGATATGGCTAGGGATTAAGTGCTAATTTGTGAGTTCCTGGGAGAAGTAGGTCGTTATTTTATTTTTTGGGGTGTGTGTGTATGTGCGTGTGTGTCTTGGGGGTTGAATCCTAGCACATGCTAAGTATACCTTCTACTGTTGAACTACACCCCATCCTCATCCTTATTAAGATATGTTTGAGTCCCCCAAACACATGCCTGGTACCATATTTGCCCATAAGTAAATGAATTTTTGTACTTGTAAAATTTCTTACTCAGAAACACCTAAAATGCTCATTAACTGGTAAAGCATATAAATAAAGTATTGTACATTCATATAGTGAGGTGTGATTCAGCAGTAGAAATAATGGAACACTGACTGACATGCTACAACATGAATGAACTTTGAAAACATGCTAAATGAAAGAAGCTAGTCACAAGAGGTTCCCATGATGTGTGAGTCCCCTTACATAAAATGTCCAGAAGGTAAGTAAGTAGTGACAGCAGTTTGGTGGTTACCAGGGCTGAGGGGAGGAAGGAATTGGTGTGTACTTTTCTTCTGGGATGATGGAAATGTTCTGTAATTAGTGGAGATGCTTATAAGCATTGAGAATGTACTGAGGCTAGAGTTGCACAGTTTAAAATTGTTACAGTGGTGTGTCTCCATAAAAACTTTGCTCTTATGAAAAACAAAGTTGCCCATTTAAAAAAAAAATGTTTTTAGTTGTAGGTGGATACAATATTTTTTTAGATTTATTTAAAAATATTTTTAATTGTAGATAGACACAATACCTTTATTTTATTTATTTTTATGTGGTGCTGAGAATGGAACCCAGAACCTCACACATGCTAGGCAAGTGTGCTACCGCTGAGCCACATCCCCAACCCTATTTATTTATTTTTTATGTGGTGCTGAGAATGGAACCCAGTGCCTCATACTTGCAAGGCAAGCGCTCTACCACTGAGCTACACAGCCCCAGCCCCAATGTTGCCCCGTTGTTTGTCCACTAAGGTAGAGTAGTAAGCAAATCCTGATTTCGTAAAGATCTGCAACAGATCTTCAGGCCGGAAAGTGCAGTTCATAGGATAGTTTTGTGATTGACAGTTAAGGAGGCCCGTTGTCTGAGTGCTGGCCCCTTTTCTTTCTTTCTTCTCTCAAGGAACTGAGTGTTGAATGTGGTCTCAACAATCGCATCAGAGTGATAGGGCAGATCTGTGAAGTTGCAAAAACTAAGAAATTTGAAGAGGTAAGTTTGTTTCAGTTGTGGGACTGAAGAGATGCGTGTTGACCATTTTGAAGCCTTGAATTTTCTTTTACTAGGAGCATGGTTGATAGCTAGCTTTGTGATGGTAGGATTTTCACTACTTTAGGGAAACTTAACTTGCAGTTGAGTGATAGAGCTGAGCTTTTGGAAATGTCCTGAGTATAACCCTGAGAGACTCATCATGAAGGGAGGCAAAGGGAATAGGCTTTTCCTTTTTTAATGTAAATATGTGCCTGCTCATTCTCTTGGGTAACACTCAGAAGAGGGGAAGGTGAAGGAATGGAAGGAATGCTGGGAGAGCTGTGGGTTCACAGAGGACATGTTAAGGCACCCTGGCTTGGAACCTGCTTGGGAGAGGTGACTGGTTGGTGGCAACAGGCAGCTGCACAGAACTAACATAGCCAGCTTTATTTTGGACAGACATTTCCAGGCTCTTCTGTTGCCGTGGACAGAGTGGGTGGTTGTCATTCTGGGCATCAGGGTAGTTGTAGAGCACCCTAGCGCTCCTTGGCCTTGCCCATTGTTTGTGTGTGAGACTTAGGGACTCATTTGTAGAGGGAAGTGACAGCTACATCTTCAGCAGCTTATCTGAGACATGTAAGCTGCACATCACCAAGTATCAATGTAAAAAGCAGGCATCCTTGTTCAGAAAGTTGCCCCTGGGGGTATGGAACATCATGTGTATAAGCCTAAGAGGCTGGGATGATCCACAGGCTCAGTGTCTGTGTTGCAGCTCAGGTTACATTGTTAGGAGTATTGTGAATGTGACATATGCAGTGAGGGTCTCAGTATATCCTGAGTTGGTTGAGATATTGGTCACAAAGCATCTAAGAAAGGGTTGAGATGTGGCCTAGTGGCAGAGCACTTTCCTAGCATGTACAAGGCCCTGGGTTCAATCCCTTGTACTGTGAAAAAACAAAAAAAAATCTTAAGAGATGTTTTAGCCCCCCACTTAAAGGGAGAAAGCCCAAGAAAGTGAGTGAGTGAAGGGAGTAGAAACATGGTTCACATGGGAAGGAAAGGTAACATTTGAGCTAGCTTGAGCTTGCAGGCAGAGGCTGAATCTGGGCAACTCTAGGGACAGGAGTGAATTCCCCATGGTGGTGGGAGTCAGTGAGGAGCAGACTTCAGGAAGCCGCATGGAGTTCTTCCTTAGCAGCTCCAGTGGGCAGCAGGGCAGGGGAAGGGTATGTTGCTGAGTGGACTACCGGTGGTGGGTTCATGTGGAAGAAAGCCATGGGGCAGAGTTTCTGGGTCAGGCACAGGCCTAGGGCACACCTTGTTCTTCTGGATTTGAAACTTCTGGTGATAGCCCTCCAGACTGAGCAATTCTACAAGAGTCTCCCTGTGGGTCTTGGGGAAGTCAGGACTTTTCCTAGCCTGCTTGCTGCCCTCCTTTCATCAGCCTGCAACCTGGGGCCTCTTAGAGGGACCTGCTTGAGTGTGAAGTGTCTCTGAGGCCTGGGGTACTCATAGGCTGCAGGAGATACATAGGATGTGGGCTGTTGAGGAGCTGGTTCTGAATCAGGAGGCTGTTCTGCTTTGTCCTTTGCATGGTGCTGTTCTTGCATTGAGGGCTAGGTTCTTGAAGATCACACCATTACCACTGTCCCCTCTTTGCTGGTGGCAGCATGCAGTGGAAGCACTCTGGAAGACTGTCGCGGACCTGCTGCAGCCAGAGCGGCCACCAGAGGCTCGACACGCGGTGCTGGCTCTGCTGAAGGCCATTGTGCAGGGGCAGGTAAAGGGCAGTGCTGGACTGACTTGTATGGGGGATTTCATCAGGCTGCCTGATGTTTGGGCTCCTGTCTTTGGCAGGGACACGAGGTATGGGGTCTGGAGATTAGCAGGGGTTCTGGGGCTAGACTGTACATGTGGGCATCCCAGTGTCACCACTGATGTCTGTGAACCTCGCCAATTGCAGGAGCCACCTAAGCCTCCACTTGACATGTTGAGTGGAGATGGTGGCTATACCTTCCTTTGGACGTTCTGGGGATGAAACAGAGCAGTTCAGCTGGACACAGTTATGTATATATAGGAAGCTGAGACAGGAAGATTGTAAATTGGAGGCCAGCCTCAGAAACTTGTTAAGAGCCTATCTCAAAAAAAGGGGGCTGGGAATGTAGTTCAGTGGTTAAAAAAATCCCTGGGTTCAAGATCTCTCCATTAAAAAAAAAAAAAAAAGCAGTTTATGTAGACTGTTAGGAGCAATAATTGGCACAGCCAGTGTTATTTTGCTTCTGCCCCCCAGTCCCCTGGCAAAGGCCATTCTCCCTGCTCATGGTGCTTAGCTGTGCGGTTCTTGGCTGGCCCTTGGGCATCCAGTTATCTTGCTATCTAGTGATTGCTCTCTTCCTTCGTGACTTGACTGCTCAAAGAGGCACCTCTACTCTGGCTGCACATCCTCTGAGACTGTAGTGCCTTTGTCCTTACAGTGTGAACGCACACATATCTATCCCGGACCATGAGCTGGGTGAGGGCAGGAGCTGTGTTGTCCTTGCTGTGTGTTTGCAGTATCCAGAGCCTGATGCAGTAGGGAGGCGCCACACACTAGTCAGCTGCCTACCAGTGCATCTGGTTTGCTGCCTGGAGCCCACTGATGTTGCTAGCCCATCTCTTGAGGTGTTCCTGGGGGAAGGAGCACAGATCAGACCCACAATATTGGTGTCTGCTGTATTTCTTGGCTTCTTGGTAGCTGTGTGGGAGGCCCTGGCAGAGCTCTGCTGACCTCATGGTTTTGTCTTTAGGGTGACCGTTTGGGGGTCCTCAGAGCCCTCTTCTTTAAGGTCATCAAGGATTATCCCTCCAATGAAGACCTCCATGAAAGGCTGGAAGTTTTCAAGGCCCTCACAGACAATGGGAAACACATCACCTACTTGGAAGAAGAACTGGGTGGGTGCCACACTGGGTGTAAGGGTTCTCTGGCCTTGTGATTAAATCTAACCTGGGATGAGGAGGGATCTGGGCCAGGAGGCATGCTGTAGTTCTATGGGATGGTTCCAGGGGGCTCACCTGGGTCTGGAGTCTCCAGGGGAACTTTTTGGACATGTAGACTCCTGGGCTGCACTCCAGACCTGCTGACTTGAAGCCTTTGGGAAGTGGGGGCTCAGAAGGTTTCTTCGAAGCTGGCAGGTGGTAGGCCATGTCTGTAATTAGGAGAGAGTGCTGCCATCCTGGTCTCACCCAGAGCACCAAGGTCCTGTTTCTTGCTCATTCTCAAGCCTGGCTTGGGTTTTCACCACCACTGGTTTACCTCCCACTCTCCTTGCCCACTTCCTCCTGTCACCCTGTCAGTAGAGGTTTTGGTCAGACTTTATGTCCCCATTGTGGGGAGAAGAGAACAGAGTGGGAAATTTGTTGTTCTGATGCCCAGAAATGGGCCTCAGTGGCTGGTCTGCCTCCAGAACAGGTGCTGACATGTTTCCAGGAAAAATGGCTGGTGTGTGCATGTGTCTCCTTCCAGAGACACTTGGTGGGACTGGGGGATGCCCAGGTACTCGCCTCCTGAACATGTGCCCTGTGATGTTTATACCCCCTAAAGTGAGGTTGGGCACTGAGTGTTAAATACATTATCCTGCTGCTGCCTAGCTCCAAGACAGCCTGGGAGCTGGTGAATCTGTCCATGCACAGCTGGCTTGCTGAGGACCAACAGAGCCTTCTTAGGCTTTGTAAGGAGGTCTGCCTGTCACTACAAGGGGACTGATGGTGTGCTGCCCAGCAGTAATGGGATTCAAACTCATTTTCCTGAGAGGGAAATGAGGAAGAACTATGTCCTTGGCTTCTCCACAAACTACTCTCTTCCTCTTCTCTCCTAGCGGAGTTTGTCCTGCAGTGGATGGATGTTGGCTTGACCTCAGAATTCCTTCTGGTGCTTGTGAACTTGGTCAAATTTAACAGCTGTTACCTCGATGAGTATATTGCATCAATGGTTCAGTAAGCAAAGAGTTTAAATGAGGTCTGGGGTGAAGCCCAGTGGTAGGGCATTTGTGTAGTATGCACAGGGCTCTGGGTTTGGTCACTAGCTCCAAGTAAAAATGAAAAGAGAAGAGCTTAGTGTCATTCTGCACTTGGTCCCACTCCTTTGGCTCCAGTCTGGCTCTGCAGGGTGAGTCAAGGGGAGGAAGCCACTGAACAAATGGAGAAGCAGGATGTCAACCTGTCTTCTCACAGTGTTCCTGTGCTTTGGTTATTCTCCTTTTGATGTTAGTTTTTCAGAACATCTTTGGTGTCCACAAGGACATGGCTTTGTCTCATTCGTATGAATACTCAGCACAGGGCATGGGGCTGGCACAGAGCAGGCATTCTAAGGGAGTATGATCTGCTTACAAACCCAGTATCTCAGAGTGGCCAAAAAATGAAAGCAGGCATTTGGCCTTCTGGAAATGCACTCTGAACTGACTTTGGCACTTCTTCCACAGCATGATCTGTCTGCTCTGCATCCGGACTGTGTCCTCTGTGGACATAGAGGTCAGTGACTCCCTTCCCCAGGGAACTGTTCATTGTACCCTCCTTTTTGGGGGGCTAAGACTCTGGGGTCAAACCCTATGTGTCACTCTGTCTGTGTGGCTCCAGGTGGCTTGATCACTTTGAGCTGCAGTCAGGACAGTGGATGGCATCTATCGTAGAGTCGTAGCTCAGGTCAGGGCAGGTGGTGTCGATGGCCCACAGTAACAGGAGTGCCTCCTGGATGCACACTTGCTTGCAGTATGGCTCTGAGGAGGCTTTTAGGGCAGTGGGGCAGAGAATGGGCATTGGGGGGCACTGGTGTGACCCCTTTTCCCTCCTGTAGGTCTCCCTGCAGGTGCTGGATGCTGTGGTCTGCTATAACTGCCTGCCGGCTGAAAGCCTCCCCCTGTTCATCGTCACTCTTTGTCGTACTATCAACGTCAAGGAGCTCTGTGAGCCTTGTTGGAAGGTGGGGTTCTGAGACCATGGTCCTGGAAGATCCTTCTCAGACAAGGTCCCAGTCCCAGTACATGTCATGACAAGGCAGACCATTTTGTTTGCAGTGAATGACACCTATTTTCAGGGTGATACAGTGGTGGCCCATTAAGAGCAGTTCAGTGGCATTTTCCAGGCAGTTGAGCTGAAGCCAGGCTTTAGGTGGTATTTCAATGGGGCTCCTACCTCTGTTTATGAGAGTAAGCTGCCTACAGAGCCCTGGCTGCTCAGGGCAAGCAGAGGGCTGGGGGCTCCCCTGTCAGGGCTGGGACACATACCTGTGAATCCCTCTGATGTATGTTTTTCCCTAGCTGATGCGTAACCTCCTGGGCACCCACCTGGGCCATAGTGCCATCTACAACATGTGCCGCATCATGGAAGACAGGCAAGTGTGGGCAGGCCTGGGGAAAGGGTGTGCTGACACTTGTGGCATAGACAAAGTTGGGGCTTTTCTGGTTCTTTTGGGTGGCTGTTCCGGGAGCTTTCACTCAAGCCAGGCACATGGTGTGTGTTCTCACATTCTCTCCTGTTGGACAAACCAGAAAGTTTGTCATTGAACTCAAAAGCCTCTGCTTCTACCTACCTTCTCCATCGTGACTCGCTCCCTTACCCTGTTACAAGGCTACACTTGGTGTGTTAACCTGACATCTCCCTCGTCCCTACAGCCAAACATCACAGTCCTGCTGCTTCTGCTCCCTTGAGGTAGTTCATGTTGAGTGCTGCCCACTGGGCTCCCACTCCCACCAGAGCTCCCTCCTCATCTGCTCCCTTATGTCCATCTTGCTCTCTGAAGTACATTCTTCACATGGAGCTGAGAGACCTTTTTCTTTTTTTTTCCTATGGAAAACAAGGTTTAAGTGTTTGGAAATAATAATGATTCAGCAAGCAGTTCTATCAGGAAATGTGGATTTGCTTTTCTTCTCAGTGATGTTATAGCTGTCATTAGCCAGAGCTCAAGGAGGAAGACAGAATTTCTTGTGTCTTGTGCCCTAACATGGATCCACTTGGGTACTTGGAACTGCAGGACAGAAAATGTTCATGCATTTGGGTTTCCCTGGTTTTGGAATTTATGCACCATCTGTCAAAAAGCACTATAATGGGCGGGGGTTGTAGCTCAGCCATAGAGCGCTTGCCTAGCACGTGTGAGGCCCTGGGTTTGATCCTCAGCACCACATAAAAATAAATAAATAAAATGAAGGTATTGTGTCCAACTACAACTAAATAATAAATATTTAAAAAAAAAAAAAAAAAGCACTATAACAATTCTCTTCAAGTTGGGGTTGCCAGGCAGGGGGTTGGTTCTGGGGCCTGAGAGACCTTTTTCTAATAGATTTCACTGTCATCTTTTGCCTGAGACTGCAGTGCTCCCAGGATAGCTCTTCTCCCTGTGGAGCAAGGTCCTGGTTAGCCCGGGCCTCCCCTTGTCTCCTCCCGCCTTTGCCGGTGCAGCTGAGTAGCTTTTGCTCTATAGTACTTTGCTTTGCATGTGTGTGATTCTTTGGTCTCTGTCTCCCACTAGACTGTGGGTGTCATGAGCTTCTCTCACCCTGTGTCCCTGTACATGACATGACCGATGGCCCATGGCGTGATCAGCAGTACTTGGCTGTTGAAGGAGTCATGAAAGAGTTATAGTTGCTGCTGGCCTGTGTTCCCTGCCCATTTTCTGGCCCTTCCCCAGCTGAAGGGCAAGGATGGCTGGGGGCCTTGCCAGAGCCCAGGTCCCCCCAGGCCTCCCACCAGGCAGGGACCCTGCTCACATCTGTGTTTCTGGGGAATGCTTTCAGAGCCTATATGGAAGATGCCCCACTGCTGCGAGGAGCTGTGTTCTTTGTAGGCATGGCTCTCTGGGGAGCCCACCGACTCTATTCTCTCAAGAATTCCCCAACATCTGTGTTGCCATCTTTTTATGAGGTAATGGGGTTTCTGTGCTACAGTGAGCTGGCAAGAGTGGGCACACTCCTGTCAGGCCTACCCACGTGTCTGGCTGGGGCTGGGGAGAGGGACACATCCAGTTACTTGCTTTTCAGCTGGGTATGAGATTTAGGGCAGTTCAAAGGTTTTGATCTCAAGCAAACATTCTCTCTGATGAATTTCATCTCCTGTGAATTAATACTGGAACTGATCAGTGTTGCCCCTAGGATAGCAATCCTCTTGCCAGTGACAGTTCTGTTTTGTCAAGGTGGTAATATTACCTTCTCTCTGGGTGATGCTGTCGACATAGTCATTCACAGCACTTCCTGTGTGTGTTAGCTTTTAATTCTCATGGCTCCCTGGTGAACTGGAGCAATTACATGATCCAAATATCATAGTGCAGTGTTACTCTGCATCATAGCCAGGTGCAGCCTGTGATCCCAGCCACTTGGGAAGCAGAGGTAGAAGTCTTGCAAGTTTGAAGCCAGCCTGGCAACTTAGCCAGAGCCTGTCTCAAATAAGCTGCATCTCCTCTGGTTACACAGAATCTCCTGATCTCATATCAGTAGGCTTTCTGCTTTGCCTGCTTCTGTTGGTGGCAGCGGTGCAGCGTATGTTCTTTCCTCATCATTTGCACTGGAACTGAGGTAGTAGCTCTCAGTTTCTGTCATGCTAGTACACCAGGACCCAGAATTCAAAGTTACTGTCCAAGTCAGGCTCTTTGGAGGCAGGGGCTTCAGGGCCCTGTTTGGGTCCCAACTGTATTGTAGCAGTGTTAGCAAAACAAATGTCCTTTTGGGATCCTCACTTGCTGCTCTGATTGTGACTGCATGGTGAGACACCCAGGTGTCTTAGACTCAGCTCCAAGGATGACACAGGTCAGTGCTTCCCATGCAATGAGAAGCAGCTGACCTTGCATGCTTCCCCGGCCCCACATTCCAGGCCATGACCTGTCCCAATGAGGTGGTGTCCTATGAGATCGTGCTGTCCATAACCAGACTTATCAAGAAGTACAGAAAGGAGCTACAGGCTGTGACGTGGGACATCCTGCTGAACATCATCGAGCGGCTGCTTCAGCAGCTCCAGGTAAGACACGAGTGAAACTAAGGGCCAAAGAGGACTAAGATCCTAGAGGGGCAGGCTTGTCACCCAGAGGATGATGTCCTATGTGTTTGGCCCCTCTCTGGAGTCTCAGAGCCTGCTTTGGCTGTGGTGGTTTCAACCTGTCTTTCAGTGAAGTGAGGTTTTGTTTTTCCAGATTTGTTCTGCCTTTCTGGCCCCAGACAGGAATGTGCAGCGGGTGGGCTAGTGATGCTGACTAAGAAGGCAGCTTGTTTCTATGGCCTGAGTGGGCTGGAGGTGGGTCTCAGAGGTTCTGGATGTTGGCCATTCCTGTGGTATGAATTTGAAGGATAGCATTAGTAAGCATGCTGACTTTGGTGCTAAGGAGCACAGCAGGGCCACACGAGTGCTGCTGCATACAGGGTCCACGGGAGACGAGGCCAGCAACTAGGATGGGCCTTCTCCCAGGCCTGGAGCAGTGGAAGGCAGGGATGGGGCTTGGCTGGGCCTGAGTTGAGTCTCAGTCGAGTCTTTGCTGGTGAATCACTACCAGGTGGCCTTTCAGCCTGGGGTGGTGCACAGAGGACACATCCCTTGGGGCTTCAGGCAGTACTGGAGCCAGCCTGGTACATACTTATAATCCCAGAGACTTGGGAGGATGAGGCGGGAGGATTGCAAATTCAAGATCAGCCTCAGCAACTTAGCAAGATCCTGTCTTAAAAATAAGGGTTGAATTGCCTGGGTCTGTGGCTCAGTGGTAGAGCACTTGCCTAGTATGTATGAGGTGCTGGGTTTGATTCTCTGTACAGCATATAAATAAATTAAATAAAGATCCATCGACAACTAAAAAATATTTTAGAAAAAAATAAGAGTTGAGTATTAACTGTTTTGGGCTGGGGATGTGGCTTAAGCGGTAGCACGCTCACCTGGCATGCATGCGGCACTGGGTTCAATCCTCAGCACCACCTACAAATAAAGATGTTGTGTCTGCCGAAAACTAAAAAATAAATATTAACAAAAAAAATTCTCTCTCTCTCTTTGTCTTAAAAAAAAAAAAAAAAAGAGTTGAGGATGTAGCTCAGTGGTAAGTGTCTCTGAGTTCAGTGTTCAGTCTCCAGCACATGCACAAAAAAGAAGGTGCTAGAGCCTGGGAGAGGTGTGTGTGTTTGAAGTTGTAGCTGCTCTCACCTCCTGCCTGCTCTTCTCCTAGGCCAGGCTGTGTGAGCCCAGCCAGGATTCCCCTGGGGGTAGGGAACAGGCAGGAGCAGTGGCTGACCATGTTCCAGTGAGGTTGGGAGGGTCTGGATGTAGCTCTTCTGGAGCTGAGGACTCCAAGGGCACGTCCTGAGGGCAGCAGAAGTCAGTCAGTGATGGTACTTTGATACTGCAGAGCTTGGAGAGCCCAGAGCTCAGAACCATCGTCCATGACCTGCTGACCACTGTGGAGGAGCTGTGTGACCAGAATGAGTTCCATGGCTCACAGGAGAGATACTTCCAGCTGGTGGAGAGCTGTGCAGACCAGAGGCCCGTAAGACACCCCCTTGGGGCCTACAGGGGTTCAGGCAAGAGTGCTGTCGGGCAGGGGCCCCTGTGGGTACCTAGCTGGAGGTGTCACACTGAATTTCCCGAGTTTGAAGGGCTTCTGCTTTCCTGGGATCTGTGCCCGAGCAAGGAACCTGCCCAGTGTCAAAAAGTAGAGCAAGCATGGGCCTGTTAAAAAGCTCAGTGTTCGCCTGGCCATTAGTTTCCCCCATCTGTGTGGAGGATGGTTGCTCCCAGGAGGCAGTCGTTTTGCCAGAACAGCTTGTTGTCAGGTCTTTTTTTTTTTTTTTTTCCTTTTTAAAAAGTTATTTATTTTATTTCATTTTATTTTTTAGTCAACATTTATAAGCATCATTTATAAAGGAGCAATCCATCCACTGTGGAAAACTTTTGCAATACACAATTTGCAATACACGTACTCGTTTATAAAACATGCAAAGGCTGGAAAACTCAACAATCAGTAAATAATGCAATTAAAAATTAACAAAACACATAAACAGGTATTTCATTGAAGAGAATAATCAAGTGGCAAGTAAGTATGAAAAAATATCCAGTATTATTGTTAGAGAATTTCACATTAAAACCATAATATGGTATATTTAATAGTTTGTCTATGGTTCCCCTCTCTCCCCCTTTCTCTGTATACATACACACACACATACCTATAAATGCTTATGTACATATGTTATATATTTTTAAAATATTTTTTTAGTAGTAGATGAACACAATCTTTTTATTTTTATGTGGTACTGAGGATCAAACCCAGTGCCTCACATATGTGAGGCAGGCGCTCTACCACCGAGCCCCAGACTCAGCACCGCTTATGTTATTTTTTTATTTGCAAAATTAAAAGTGTTAACAAACAATGAAATAAATCAGTTGCTGTGTACCATATGCTAAATGAGAGAATGAACATTTGCAACAAAAGCATTCCATGTCAGAGCCTGACAGGACTATTCAACCCTTTTTCCAAAATACTACATCATCAAACCTATTGTTTACTATTGCCAGGTCTTTCTGTGGGTTTTGACAGGAGTTTCCTGCTACCAGGAGGTTTTTGTCCTGTGTGGTTCCCTCATCTGGGCTGTGAGTGGCTGGTCTTTCCTGAACTGACTTGGTTCTTCTGGGCCAGCAGCCTGGTGGCATGCTGATAGATCCTTTGTAGGGCAGAGTGGCTCTTTGACACTGGCTTTGTCTTCTTTTGACAGGAGTCCTCCCTCTTAAACCTGATATCCTATCGAGCTCAGTCCATCCACCCAGCAAAGGATGGCTGGATCCAGAATCTGCAGCTGCTGATGGAGAGGTTCTTCAGGTAGTAGCGTCTCCGTGGCCCTTCCTGGGGCCTGACTCTGTGTCACTGTTCCTGGGCCTGCAGGGGCTGGGGTCTTAGACCCCTGGGAGGTCAGAGCTTTCCTTTCTGGTTCTTGAAAGCAGTGGTTCTCGATGAGTGGAAAAGGTTGGTTTCACAGGGTCCTCTAGTGAGGCCTCCATGTGGTGGTCTAGAGAGATGTCCTCCTGGAAGGCAGAACCCTCTTTGTCCCTTTCCTGGGTCTTGGTCTGGATGTTATTGAACCTGGGGCTTGTAGAGAGAGTCCAAAGCTGGGTCTGCGCGTCCATCTTGAAGGGATGGGCCCAGTGCTCCTGGCCAGTCCCCAAGCCCTTTCTCCTTCCACAGGAACGAGCCCCGCAGTGCTGTGCGCATCAAGGTGCTGGACGTGCTGTCCTTTGTGCTGCTTATCAACAGGCAGTTCTATGAGGTGTGTGGAGGCTGCAGTCTGAGACCTGGGGGCCTCTGAGACTGGCCCCAAGGTCTCCTGGGACTTCCTGGCCTCTGCTCCTCTCTGTGGCAGGCTTTCAGCTGCTGTTGCTCCCTAGTTCTGGCATTCGTTCATTCACCTGTGGGCCCCAGCCAGGCCTGTGCTGAGTCCAGAGCCTGTGGAGTGGCTGGAGAGCACAGGCCTTGAGGGGGTTTCCTGTCTGGATATCACTCAGATCTCAGAAGCCTTCAAAGAGTTCTGGTCTGAGTTCAGAACTCTCGTGTGGAACGTTTTCCTTTTGTTTTTGTATTCACTTCCACCACTCATCTCTCAGCCTGCTTGCCAGTCTGTTCTGAGCCCTGCTGGGGCTCTCCTTTTGTGCCTGCCCTCCATTCAATCTTATTGAGATTGGTGGTGGCACCCTACCTGGAACATCAGCACATGCCAGCATGCGCTTTCTTGCAGATGCGCTCCAGGCTGAGGCCGCCCTCCCTCTATGTGGCTCACATGGTCTTCCCCGGCCTGCCTATCCTCCCTTCTCCACTTTTCTTTGCCCTGGACTGCCCCTGCTATCTCTGCCTTGTAGCCCCACCTCCCCCTAAGCAGAGCTCCATGTCCCCTTTTCCAGGAAGCGTCTCTGAGTTCTCAAGTCCCTCTTAGCAGAATCTTTTTGTATTGGGAACCCAGGGGGTACCTAACCACTGAACCACATCCCTAGCCCTTTTTATTTTTTATTTTGAGACAATTCTCTTAAGTTGCTGAGGGCCTTGCTAAGGTGCTAAGGGCCTCGCTAAGGTACTGAGAGGTTGGTTTTGAATTTGTGATCCTCCCGCCTCAGCCTATTGAGCCTCTGGGAATATAGATGTGCACCACCTCCAGTAGCATTTTTTACCTGTATTTTTGAAGGCTCTTGTCACACTGCCCCCACTACAGTAGCACAGTAAGTCAGGGTTTCCCTACTCACAACTTACATGTGGCCTTCCACAAAGGACATATTTTTTTTGTGTGAGGATTGAACCCAGTGCCTCATGCATGCTAAAGGAGGTATCCTGACATAGAATGACAAGAGGCAAGCAGGGACATTGCCTTGGCTCCACTGCATGGGAGCCCGTGCCTTAACTCTACCTGTGCTGGGCTGTTGTACAATAGTCAGTACTCTGAGCTGAGGGGCTGGGCACTCCCCTGGGAGAGGAATCTGGAGGCCCTGACGACACCCCAGTGAGCTCTGCTGCAGTGCCTTGGAATGCACAGCACTTATGTTCCAGTACCTTGGAATGCACTGCTTGCAGGGCCAGAGGTTCACTTGTTCCCTCTGTGCCTGGTGTAGGAGGAGCTGATTAACTCGGTGGTCATCTCCCAACTTTCCCACATCCCTGAGGATAAAGATCACCAAGTCCGAAAGCTGGCTACCCAATTGCTGGTGGACCTGGCGGAAGGCTGCCACACCCACCACTTCAACAGCCTGCTGGATATCATCGAAAAAGTGAGAGCTGCTTGGGGTCCTGGACTAGGTGCCAGGGGTACTCCTTAATTGCAAATCCCTGTAGGCAGAGGCATCCCCTGGACCCTTTCTCCTTTGCATTGTGATTGGTGGCCATCTCTTGCAGGCAGGGTGTTCCTCACAGCACACATGGGTGGTATCAGCAGGTCATACTGTGCTGCCTACTGCTTGGCAGGTCTCCTGCCCAGGGCCATGGATAGGGCTGCCTTGTGGTTTCCGGGGAGCCGGACTGGGTGAATGAGGTCTCACGCAGAGCCCAAGAGCAGGGTATGGGACTGTGGCCTTTCCTATTAGTTTGGAAGTGCCTTATGATCTGAGTGGTCACCTGAGTTGTGTAGAGTGCATCTGTCCTGAGAAGTTGTTCATGGTAGAAAGTGCTGGATCTGATGGCGACTGCTTCAGGGAGCCATGAGCTGGGACTCACAGTCCTGATCTCTCTAAAGGTGATGGCCCGCCCCCTTTCCCTGCCTCCAGAGCTGGAAGAAAGGGATGTGGCTGCCTACTCGGCCTCCCTGGAGGATGTGAAGACTGCAGTCCTGGGGCTTCTGGTCATTCTTCAGGTGGGTGCTCTGCTAGTGGCCTCTTCTAGGAGAGTGTCACAATCAGCTCTTATCCATTATAGTTGGAGGCTGTTCTTCAGAGGTGTGTTTCCCAGGAGATCTGACCTCCCAGGGAGGATCTGTAACCAGGCATAAGGTCCTGACTGGACAAGAGGCTGCAGGGGTGAGGTAGGGGTGAGTTCTGTTTTGTTTATACCGTGTACTATCTAGTCTGTGTGGAACTGCCACAGTCTGGGCAGAACCACCTCCTGTCCTTGTCCAAATGCTTGCCCTTGTTCCTGCCACAGCAGCTGAGAAGAAACCAGCTGTTTTGATTCTCAGGATTGTTTTCTTGGGAGTGATTTTCAAGTCCCTACAATGTTACTTCTACATGGTGTAGAACTTGTTTATAGGGAATAGTTGAATGTTTTTTCCCATATCCACAGAACTGGGCAGTCATCATCACAATTTTAGAGTGTGTCCTTCACCTCTGAAGAAACCCCATCCCTATTACCTGTTAGTTGCCATTCCTCCTGTAGCCCCCAGAAAGCCCCCACTTTCTGTCTCCCATGGATTTGCCTGTTCTGTGCATTTCGCATAAGTGGATCTGTTTCTTTGTGGCCGTCCTAGTAATGTGAAGTGGTGTCTCACTATGGTTTTATTTTTCCCTGAAAGCTAATGACATTTATCATCTTTTTTTGTATGGTTATTGGCTAGTTTCTTTTTTAGAGAAACGTCTGTCGTGAGCCTTTTTTTTTTTTTTTCGGTGCTGGGGATTGAATCCAGGCCCTTGGGCATGCAAGGCAAGCACACTACCAACTGAGCTGTATCCCCAGCTCCTCTTTGTCCATTTTTTTTTAACCTTTATTTCACTTATTTATTTTAATGTGGTGCTGAGGATCGAACCCAGGGTCCTGCATATGCAAGGCGAGTGCCCTACCACTGAGCCACAACCCCAGCCCTGTCCATTTTTTAACAGTGCCATTTGTCTTCCTATGACTGACACGTGAGAGTTCTATGCTTTCTGGGTGCAGGTGCCACATTAGGCAGATCACCTTCTGATTTCCTCATGCCACTACTGTCCTTGGGCATGGTGCTCAGGTGCTCCTGCACCCCACAGGCTCCTGAGCATCTCTGGGGCCGTGGCCTCTCATGTCTCTACACATCTCCCATCCCCACATGTCCCCTGCCATACCCTCATGTCCCCTCACCCCATTTTTCCTCTCATTTCCCTACATATCCCCTCTTCTACACATCTCTCATCCCCACATGTCCCCTGCCATACCCTCATGTCCCCTCACCCCGTTTTTCCTCTCATTTCCCTACATATCCCCTCTTGTCCTTACATATCACCTCAGGTTCCCCAAATGTCCCCAGACTGCCATTGCCTGGGTAGGACAGCTTTCAGGCTTTTCTGGCTACTGCACCTTGATTAGTGATTTTCAAGTCCCTACAATGTCACTAGTATCTTTGCCAGTGTCATTATTGCATAAGGTACAATATTTGAATCTGTTAGCTGAAAATTTTCTAGTTCATAAGGTGCTGGCAGTCAGTTAGGTTCCTGCAGTGCTTGGTGTAGTGGACTTTTATTTTCTGGCATGCAACTTTAAAGCAGTGTCTGGTATCATCTAATTAGCTCCTCTTAGGGTCTCATCCATGTGGGCCCATGCTATGTGCTGCCTGACCTATTGGGAAGGGGACTGATGGCCTCATGGCCTGGATGAGCTAGAAGCCTCTGACCTGCAGAGGGAAGGCAAAGTGTTCCCTTGCCCTCCCTTGGGAACCTGCCCTAAGGCCCAACAACTGGCTTCAGGCCTGAGCTGTTTCCTGGTTGAGGCAAACTGCCAGACTGTTTTTATTTCTTTTCTTTTCTTTTTTTTTAATATTTATTTTTCAGTTGTAGTTAGACACAATACCTTTATTTTATTTATTTTCTTATGTGGTGCTGAGGGTCGTACCCAGGGCTTCGCACATGCTAGGTGAGCACTCTACCGCTAAGCCACAACCCCAGCCCTGTTTTCATTTCTTTTTAAAAAATAATTAAAAACCTCAGTGAAGGGAGACTCCACCTTCTACCCAAAGGGCTTGGCTGAGACCCCATGTCCCTCCTGGCATGGCTCGGGTGTTTTTGTATCAGTTGCTCGAAGTGGGGACAAGTCTTTGTGTGTTCTGTGGGAAGGAGCTGTGGAGTGTGTCATCTTTTAAAGAACTACAGTGATAGGGCTAGGGATAGAGCCCAGCTGATAGAACTCTCAGCTGGTAGAGTGCTTGCCTCCCAAGCACAGGACCCCGGGTTCAGTGCCTAGCAACACACACACACACACACACACACACACACACACACAGAACTGCAGTGATGGTTTCCAGGCAACTGCTGCTTACCTCCAAGGCTCAGAGATCACAAAGGCCCCTTAGGTGCTTGTGGACCTGCAGCCTTTGGCCCAGCCTTGCCACCCCATGCTGCTGGCAGCACTGAGGGCTCTTGCCCTGGCCTCACCTGTCACCTGTCAGGGAGAGCTCAGGGTCTCAGTTGCTTGTGTTCCTGTGGGATGATGGGCCCGGCACTTAGGGATAGTCCTGCAGCACATACGCCTCTCATGGGTCTACCTTCATTAGTCTGGCTTTACCTTGCAATGTCTGGATTCTCTCTTTGGCACACAGGGAAGGGGTTTAGTCGAAGCTGCATGGTATCCTATTGGACAGGTTTTCCTAAATTACCAACCAGTTCTCTGCTGATGACACAGATGTGGTTGTGTGGAGAGATGACCTCTCGTATGGTGGTGGTGGTGGTGGTGGTGAGGGGCATGCTTGGAAAGCATGGCACATGCTGCCTTCAGCCTGCAGAGAGGTCATCTACCTCACTGAGGTGCATCTTCCTGGCATGCTCTTACCCTTGTGGTGATTGGTACCTTCTCTCCACAGACCAAGCTGTATACCTTGCCTGCCAGCCATGCCATGCGTGTGTATGAGATGCTTGTCAGCCACATCCAGCTCCACTACAAGCATGGCTACTCCCTGCCCATTGCCAGTAGCATCCGGCTACAGGTACAGCCAGGCTGGTGTGGGTGATTGATTACCCAGAGGCCCAGAAAGCTGACTCAGTCTCAGCAAATATGGTGCCTGTGGGCTGGAGAGATGGCAGGTGGCCCCAGGAGGGGCCCTCTGCAGGCTCTTCTCATCTTGGCACCCACTGTGGCCACAGCCTCCTCATGATTCTCTTCCCTTTCTTTGTAGTGCCTGTGTTTCTGTGGTTTATCACTCTGAATCAGGTGGTACCCTGGGAGGAGGGCAGAGAAAAAGAAGCAACCTAACTTCCTGGGTTGCATGTGGCCCTGATGCTCCTGGGGCTACAAGATCTGTCAGTGTCCTGCAATATAGGGCATGGGCTAGACAGAGGGAGGTTCAGGAGAGGGCTGGGCTAGTCGAGCTGCTCTGACCTCGCTCTCTGGATGTCACACCAGGATGAACGAAGGTCACTGAGATGGAAGCCCTGACCCCTCCAAGAGCATCTGCTGGAGAGGGTGGCCCCATGTCGTTTTATGGGGGAAGCAACAGGACCCTGAGCAGAATTTATGGCATTTGGGGATGCAGGTCACTACCCCAGGTGGCCCCATCTGCTGTGGGGATATCTGCTCCAGGGGCTTTAACAAGAGTTCAGGCTCAGGGTCCATGGGTTGCCGGGTCAGAGGGAGGCATGTCTGCCCTGGCACTGGACTTCTGGCTGAGGCAGAGGCGTGGTTCACTCCCTGGCAGGCCTTCGACTTCCTGCTGCTACTGAGGGCTGATTCGCTGCACCGCCTCGGGTTGCCCAGCAAGGATGGGGTCGTGCGGTTCAGCCCCTACTGCCTCTGTGACTGCGCGTATGTGCCCATGTGCTGGAGGGTGTCAGGATCACTGGGTTGGAGGGGAGCTTGTGCTGTCTGTCAAGAATGGGTGTGTGTCTGAGGGACCATCCCAGAAGGGGTTGTAGTGGTGGGTTGGGTCGGGGGGACTGTCTGTTCTAACCTGTATGGCAAGGTATGACCTCAGTTGCTTGTCCCAATTGCTTGTGCAGGGAGCCAGAGTGGGGCTCTGAGAAGAAGGCCAGCGGCCCCCTTTCACCTCCCACAGGGCCACCTGGCACTGTCCCCTCTGGCCCTACCGTGCGGCTTGGCCACCTGCCCTACTCCCTGCTCTTCCGTGTCCTGCTGCAGTGTTTGAAGCAGGTGAGAGGGGCCCAGCTTCAAGCTCTGTTGGTTCAACTGAGCTGCTAGAGGAGTTGCTCTGAGGGCTCCAGATTCTTGGAGTCAACACACTTCCCCCTGCGTTAGAGACCTTGGGAGCTTTGCGTGTGTCCAGGTTTCGGATGTGTAGGCACAGCACTGTAACTGTAGACCTGCATGCTCCTCACAGGGAGGAGAGTGCAGTTGTGTCGGGGAGCATTTGCCTGGCAGGCTGAGGCCAGTCTTGAAAGGTGAGGAAGGTTCCAGTGGCATGAGTAAGCAGGGCTTGGAAGCAGGTAGGTGTGGTTCTGGGTAGCAGGTTGTGCTGGACCAAGATGCAGAGATGGGATGTCAAAAGGCTAGTAAGGGGATGGACATAGGGTATAGATAGGCAGGGGCTGGAGAGAGGGGTGGACCTAGGGTGTAGGTGTTGGCAGTGAGGTCCTATAAGAGACTTCCCAAGAGTTTTCAGCACTCTGCCTTGGACTTGGCTCTGGGTAGTGGCTGCTCCCTCAAGGAGGTTAGGCTGGAGGCTGCAGCTTATGTCCTCCTGTTGCCCTGGCCTTGGGTTGATGCTGGTTGTGTGCCAGAGATCTTGGCCTGTGGACTTGCTGCTTTCCCGGTCAGCTGTCATCGTAGTTTCTCTTCTGCCACACCTTCATTGTTAGGGAAGTTCAGCTGGTGCTCAGGGTGCGCACTCTTGAGGCACTGGGTACAGTGCTGTAGGCAAGTGGTACCTGGGCCACGTTGGGCAGATGTGGGGAGAATAGAGCAGAGATGTGGAAGTCCTGAGGTTGGCTAAGGAGGGAGGAGCTGCTGGCTCCCTGCTGGGCTCTGCTTACCTGGTCTCTGGAGGGCAGCCACTACAGAGCAGGCTGACAGCCACTGGGGTCTCAGGGGTAGAGGCCAAGGCTTGCCAAGTCCCTGTGTGCTGAGAGAGTGTACTGTCCCAGATGCAAGTAGCCTCAAGCACTGACCTTTCATCTTCTGTCTCCAGTGTCCATAAAGCCCTACCCTCTCCCTGACCCTGCCTTTCCCTCTAGGAGACCGACTGGAAGGTGTTGAAGCTAGTCCTCAGCAAGCTGCCTGAGTCGCTGCGCTACAAGGTCCTCATCTTCACCTCCCCATGCAGTGTCGACCAACTGTCGTCTGCCCTCTGCTCCATGGTAATCCCACCCAGCAGGTCCTGTGCTGACCCCTCCTACGTCACACACAGTGGACCTGGTATCGCGGGGTGGGGGCCACAGTCCAGTCTCCTTCACAGGACAACAAGCCTCTGGCAGGAGTTCATGCCATCCATAGCCTGCCAGGCAGACTTTGGTCTCCTCAGGCCTGGGGCCCTTGTGTGCAGTGCACACTATGCCTGGGGCCTGTGGGACTGTGGGAGTGCAGGGGACCCGTTCTACTCCCAGTTTATGGGGCATCAGAGGTCCCTGGTTAAGGGCATGTTTCTGAGTATTTGTCTCTTCTCCCCTCTTCCCGTGACTTTTGGGTCAGCCTCTGCCTCTCTCATGTTACAAGTAGGTCCTTACCTGCTTCTCTGAAAAGGCAGACCCCTGCCAAGAAGGAAAGCAACTATTGGCCCAGGCTCTGCTGGGCTCCCCAGCACCCTCTGCCCCACCAGGAGATCTGGCCACTGGGCAGGGGGTTCATGGTAGGTTGTCTTGGTCATTAGCTCTCAGGTCCAAAGACCCTCGAGCGGCTCCGAGGTACCCCCGAAGGCTTCTCCAGAACCGACCTCCACTTGGCCGTGGTTCCGGTGCTGACAGCTCTGGTCTCTTATCACAGCTACTTAGACAAAGCCAAGCAGGTGAGGGATGGTGGGGGAGGAGTACGATGGTGTCTGGGACTTGAGATCCTGTCCTGAGCCAAAGAGATACACTGCCTCCTTCATGGACTGGCTGCTAGGCCAGAGCCAGGTGAGCTGGCTCTGTTTCCCACTTTGGCCATTTGTCCCTGTCTGCTGGCCAACCTGAAACTACAGGTGTCTGAATCCCTGGCGTTTCTGAACTCTCTGGGGGGTCTGGGCTTTAATGTGGCCCTTGGGTATACCTGTCTGGCCTCCTCTCCCCAGTAGCCTCACTCCCTTCCAGAAGCATTCCCTGGCCTGTCCCTGCTGTGACTTTGGGAAGGATGACTAGGCCTATTTTGAACAGTGGGAAGGGCAGGCTGGGGCCCAGAGCTTCAGCTCCCTCTGCACCTACAGTCAGTGCAGAAAGCACACACAGTGCTCTTCTGGCCTGTGCTGCTGCCATCACCCACTGTGTCAGGAAATGGAAACACTGGAGAGGTCAAGAGCCCACTCGAGGTCCTTGCACCTTCACCTCAGGCTCAGGCCTGCCTCCCCAGACCCCAGTTTTTTCCTATGATGCTATTGGGAGCTCGCACTGCATTCTCCTTTCCTCAGGCTGAGCTTGGCAGACCTGTCCCAGGATGTGCTCTGCCCCTCCTGTGTGGCTGGCCTGCCATTCTGGCATTACCCCAGAAGGTAGCTGGTAGCCTCACTGCGTCAAGCAGCACCTCCCCTTGGCAGCATGGCCAGCCCCTGTTAGGGGGACCAAAACCAAAGGGGCTTTGGGCATAGCATGTCCTGGTTTCAGGATGGGTTGGGGAGCCAGATCCTGCTGGACAGTGGAGTGGGGTCAGGAAGGACCTGATTGGAGCAGCCCACTTATGCAGGCTGCCTGGATCTGCTCGGCTGGTGGCTGGCTCTGCCACAGTCATTTGGGGACCATATTGAGTTTTGCCCCCAACCCCTTTGGAACCTCCCAGAACTGGCCAAAGAGATGAGGCCTGGGGATGGACAGGATGGATAGCCCTCTGTCCCTGTGGGCAGGGCCTGAGGCGTCTTGCTTCCCATAGCGTGAGATGGTTTACTGCCTGGAGCAAGGCCTCATCTACCGCTGTGCCAGCCAGTGTGTGGTGGCCCTAGCCATCTGCAGTGTGGAGATGCCCGACATCATCATCAAGGCGCTGCCTGTCCTGGTGGTGAAGCTGACACACATCTCTGCCACGGCCAGCATGGCTGTGCCGCTCCTGGAGTTCCTGTCCAGTGAGTGTGTGCGGCCCCAGCTGTGAACCCATGTGCTCAGTGCACATGTGGGCAAGCATGCAGGGTGGACCCTCGGTTTGGGTTGTGCCTACTGTAGTGCCTGGTGCTGACCCCTCCCAGTCCCTGTCCCCCTGTGCACAGGCTGGCCTGCCTTGAGAACCTGGCCATGGCACATCCTGCCAGCTGCCTAAGTGGCCTTGGAGAGGCTGTTTCTTTCCTCCCTTGACATCATTGGAAAAATCTCCCCAACAGGAGATTCCCTTGACAGCCTCTGTCCGTCAGGGTACATACCACAACTGGGTGTTGCCACATCACCCCACTTTGTCCACTCCACTTTGGTGACTCCCGGGAGTTCAGGGTGCCTTGTCTGCCCCTTCCTGCCACCTTGTATATATCTGGCCAGTAGCAGGCCTTAGATGTTGGGGAATCAGAACAGAGTGTAGGACCAAAGAGAAGACCCTTTGGACCACACAGGGGCTTTCTTGTGTATTCTTTTTATTTTATTTTGCTTCCTACCCTGTGAAAACATAAAGACTGTTCTTAGCTTGTGGGTCATATGGGTGCAGACTGTAAGCCAGGTTTGGCCTGAGGACTATAGTTTGCTGGATTGGAAAGGAGAGCCCAGGCCAGCATCAGGAAGATCATGTTCAGGTGGCCCTGGCCTTCCCTGTCTTGGACCAGAATGGCTATCCTGGCTTTTAGAGATAAAGCTCAAGACCCTAGTGACACTGCCAGTGGCCATGGTCTACCTGCAGGCTGGCCTGGGCTCCCCTCACGGTGGTCCTTACATCGCAGCTCTGGCCAGGCTGCCCCATCTCTACAGAAACTTTGCTGCAGAGCAGTATGCAAGTGTGTTTGCCATCTCCCTGCCGTACACTAACCCCTCCAAGTAAGTGCTGGCTCCCAGGCCCTCCCGCTCCTTGCCGTGGCCTTGGCTCCTCTGCTTCCACCTGGCTGCTGCCCTCAGCCACCGCAGGGAGTACCAGGGCTGACCCTTTCTTCTTGCCTCAGGTTCAACCAGTACATCGTGTGCCTGGCCCATCATGTTATTGCCATGTGGTTCATTAGGTGTCGCCTGCCCTTCCGGAAGGATTTTGTCCCTTACATCACTAAGGTCAGCCCATGGAGTAGGGGCCTTTGTCTATTAGTGCCAGGATCCACTTCATCTGTGGTAGAGCAGGGACATTGGCAGGGGAGAAGGAGGAGGGGTTCAGTCTGCTGAGCCTGGCTCACTACCCAGCCAGATATGGACAGGACAGTGGAGCTGCCACCATCTTTTGGGTCTGCAGCTTGCCCCAGGCCTCCCATAGCACCACCTCACAGCTTAAGTCTGTCCTACTCCAGGGCCTGCGCTCTAACGTCCTCCTGTCCTTTGATGACACCCCCGAGAAGGACAGTTTCAGAGCACGGAGCACCAGTCTCAACGAGAGGCCCAAAAGGTTTGGGTGTGCTATGGGTGTGCCTGGTGTTGGTGTTGGATGGGGTGGGATCCCTGTGACCACTGCGGTGTATTTAGCTGGGGCTGGCCAGCTGCTTCTAGGCCAGTAAGTGGGTGTAGGAGCTGGGGTTGAAGGTGTGCCACCATATAGGGTCTGCTGGGGCAAGATGCCCAGGATTTGAGAGACTAGGCAGGGCCTACAAGGAGCATTAATGCCTTACACTCACCAGGCTGGCCTGCTGTGGCCTTTGGCATTTTAGATCCTGGGGGTTGCCATCTTGGCCTGCCTAGGTCACAAGTATGGATGGATTTGCTGAGTTGGGGATTGGGGTGCTGGCTGTAGGTGTCCAGATTTGGGTCTCACTTCACCAGAGAAGCCCAGGGTCATGTCAGGGCAGCTGTGACTCAGCCTGGGCAGGGGAACCCTGTACACCCCCTGCTCAGCCCTGTGGCCTCTGGTTAACCCAGCCTGCAGCCAGGGCTGCCCTCTTCCTCCACTTGCTCACCTGGGGGCACGCTCCTCTCTACCATCACGACCGCTTATGCCAAGTCTGACAAAAAAGCTGTGCTAGGCCTCTGTGTTCTCGTCTGCACTTACTGAATGGCTGCCCCGCCTGCCCCCACTTCCTGCCCAGGCTTTCTTGGCTCTCCCTATGTGGGATACGGCACTTTCCAGTGCGACTTACACTTAGAAGCCACTTGCTCAGGCTGCTGGGGCTGGGGCAAGGGTGTGAGTTTGACTGTCAGTGGCCAGAGTCTCCTCTTTGGGCCTGGCCATCATGACCTTGGTGCCTCCTGGGTCCCAGAGCTGGGTGGGGACACCTGGTCAGCACAGCCTGGAACCTGCCGTGCGGGCAATCCACACGTTTAATTTGCACCAATGTCCTTTGTTTTGGTATCATTGTGAAACCTTGCTGCTCTCAGTCGCCTTACGAGTTGTATTTTTATGCGTTTTGTTTTCTGTCTCTTCCCTGCTAACTGTCCTTTGGCATGGTTCTTTTGTTCATCTCGCGGGATCTCTCCATCTTGACCCTGTGGCCTGGGACCTTTCCACCTCACCCCTCCAATGGCTTGTTTTCCCCTTCCCGGGAGCTGGGCTCTCTGGGGCTTGGGGCTTCCTTCCTCACCTGGTAGTTTGAGGATAGCCAGAGCCCCCAAACAAGGCTCGAATAACTCCCCACCTGTGAAAGAACTCAAGGAGAGCCCTGCAGCCGAGGCCTTCCGGTGCCGCAGCGTCAGTGTGTCTGATCATGTGGTCCGCAGGTAGCGGGGCTGTGTCGGGAGGGGGGCACAGACCCGGAGCTTGGCCCGTGAGCACCCGGGTGGCGGTGCATGGGGCTGCTTGCATGACCTTGTTGCCTGGCCAGGGCTAGAGGAAAGCCTGACCCTCAAGGGATCCTGGTGGCCAGGGGTGGAAAGGTTGCATTCTGTCCCTGAGACCTGTACAGCATGGGCCACTGCATGTCAACCTCAGAGGCCTGTCTGGGCACCCTGGCCAGGGCAGCTGCTCTAGAAAGCTGGGCAGCCAGTGGTAGCCTCCACAGGCTTGTCCCCAGAGGGCAAGGGCTTTTTCAAATTAAAGCAGGGCCTGTGCAGGTTCAATAGAGACATTCAGGTTTGAGTTTGGCTTTGTCATAGTCTGTAGAGTAGACTTTTCTTCTTGGACTTCCTTCTGGGAAAGGTCTACTTTCTGTGATAGCTGGAGGGGAACTGGGGACTTTGGTGGAGGGGTGGTGGGCAGCTTTGGAAGGGCAAGCCAGCCCCCAGGCGCAGGGGCAGGCACAAGCTTTCAGAGACTGGTTCTAGGCAGCTGCCTACCTGTGGTCACCCTGCTGGCCCAGGCTGCACTTAGCAGAGGGGATGCCTGTGTCCACCTAGAAGCCCCTCCTAGCCTCAACATCCTGTGCTCTGGGACCTAGCTTCTTATTAATGCCTGCTTTGGCTCCAGCCACAGACTAGCCTCTTCTGTTGTGTATTTGGCCAGGAGTTGGGGGATGGAGAGGCATTCTGTGAGGCTCCTGTCAGCTCTTTTTTAGTAAGTCTTTAATGTGGCTAAGGGCTGTGAAACTTGTGACAGCTAAACCTACATAAGCCCTTCCCCTGGTCCCTGGGGTGTGTGGAGTGCTGCATTGGCCCTGTCTCTCACTGAGCCCAGCCCTCCTTATCCTAGATGGAAGTAGTGGCTGTGTGGGCAGAATGCAATCCTGCTCTGTTCCCCATGGTCTTTGACTCTGCATGATTAAGCTGTTTTGCTACAACCATGACTAACTCTCCTATGTGCTCGGGCAGAGGGGATGCCTGTCTCACCAATCTCAAATTTCTGCTCTGACCAGAGGGCCCAGGTCTTTCTTGCAAGGTGTTTCCCTCCTCCCTGGGATGATGTGGTCCACATGGTTTGCGAAGCTGCGGCTCAGCTGGCCGCTGCCCCTGGTCCTGATGGGGTCTTTTGGGAGCGAGGCCCTTTTGGCCTGTGCATGCATTGAGCTTCGCCCCTGGTGGTAGGTGTCTCGGCCGTTCCTGGCACTCTGACCCTGGCCATGACTTCTTCTAGCAGGATACAGACATCCCTCACCAGTGCCAGCCTGGGGTCAGCAGACGAGAACTCCATGGCCCAGGCTGATGACAACTTGAAAAATCTCCATCTGGAGCTCACAGAAACGTGCCTGGATATGATGGCCCGATACGTGTTCTCCAACTTCACGGCAGTACCCAAGAGGTGTGACCTGGGCTCCAGGGTGGGAGGTACAGCCTCAAGCCACACCATGGTGACAAGTGCAGCTGTGCAGGCCATCAGGGCCACTCTGGCCTTCAGGAGTGGTTTGCCCTGAGGCATCTCTGGGAGCCCCGCTCCAGGCCAGCTGGAAGGCGACACTTTTTTGCTTTCAGGTCTCCCGTGGGAGAATTTCTCCTGGCAGGCGGCAGGACCAAAACCTGGCTGGTTGGGAACAAGCTTGTCACAGTGACGACCAGTGTGGGAGCTGGGACCCGCTCATTGCTGGGCCTGGACTCTGGGGATCTGCAGGCCAGCCCAGAGTCAAGGTGACTGCTCTTTCTCCCCCGTGCCCTGCTAGCCTGGAGACCTGGGGGAGTCCTTGTTTACCCTGTACTTGGACACTTCTGTCCCTAGCTCCAACCCTGGCCTGCACGTGAGACAGACAAAAGAGGCGCCTGCTAAGCTGGAATCCCAGACTGGGCAGCAGGTGTCTCGCGGGGTCCGGGATCGGGTGCGCTCCATGTCGGGTGAGTTCCCAGCTGCCTCCCTGGTTGCTGTTGTATGGGGAGGGCAGCACCCTATGCATAGTCATGAAGTGAGGCCCTTGTGGCTGAAGGGCTTGCTTACGGTGCTAGTGTTTCGCATGGCCCTGGAGCAACTCTGGGCCTTGCCTGGCTCACCCCAAAGCTGTTTCTGCTGTACTTGAATGGGCTGTAGTCCAGGTATGTCTGGGACCCCTTCAGCTAACCTGGGCCCACTGAGGTTAGCAACCTTAGAGGGCCAGGCCTGGGGCTGAGTGCTACTACTGTAGCCCCCTGTAGACATTGGCCTGGTGCTTCCAGTCTGACCAGACCCTGGGAGGAGCTTCTAGCTCTGCACTAGTGGATTTGTATTGGGCAGGTAGTCACCAGCCCTCCCACCTGGTCCTCTGCAGGGGGACATGGCCTTCGAGTTGCTGCCCTGGATGCACCAGCTTCCCATATCCCAGGAGGCTGCACTTCTGCAGGACCACAGAATGTACCAGCTACAAAGCCGGAGAAGGCCTCTGTGGGTGCCCAGGTTCTAGCACCAGAGAAGACGAATCTCGCAGCCTATGTACCCCTGCTGACCCAGGGCTGGGCCGAGATCTTGGTCCGAAGGCCCACAGGTACTGAGAGGCCAGGTGGACTACTCTGATCAGGCCTACTCTGAGCTTGGGTCCCCCTTGGAAGGGGCCCCATCCCCACATAGTGGAATGGTTACCCTACTGTTGTGGCCACACAAAGCAGCAAGCACAGGGCATCGGGGCTAAGAGATTCTGAAGCTGGGTCTCCAGAGGCAGTGTGTCCAAACAGGCCTGCTCTGGGTTGCACAGGCTGATGGCAAAGCACCAAACAAGGCAGCCTGCACTGCAGAGGTTGAGGCCAGCGAGCTGGCTCCTTCTGAGGCCTCCGTCCTGGACTTACAGATGTTGCTTTCTCCCTGTGTCCTCACGTGGTCATCTCTCTACACATCTGTATCCTAATCTTTTTCTTTTTTGGTACTGGGGATTGAACCCAGGGATGCTTAACTATTGAGCCATATCCCTAGCCCTTTCTTATATTTTACGTAGAAACAGGGTCTTGTTGAGTTGGTTAGTGCCTCGCTGAGTTGCTGAGCCTGACTTTGAACTCATAATCCTCCTGCCTCAGCTTCTGGAGCATCTGGGATTACAGGTGTGCACCACCGTGCCTGGCTCTAATCTTATGAGGATACCAGCTGGAATAGGACCCGCTCACATGATCTCACTCCTTACAGATGCTGTTTCCACATGCAGTCATCTTCTGAGGTCCTGTGGGTTAGGGTGTGATGTGGAATTCTGAAGGGATGTAACTCTTCCCATAACAGGCATCTCAGCCAAAAGGGCTTAGCAGAGGCCTGGAGCCTGGGAGGTGGTAGAAGAGGACACACAGTGCTGACCTACAAGGCTGTAGCAGGCTCCAGTTGCCCTGCAGTGTCCCTGAGATTGACCTAGAGTAGCAGAGTGCTTGGTGTCCAGTAGGGAGGACATGACCACAGCCTAAGTACAGGCATGTGCCGTTGGGGATGGCACACGTGGAGGCTGCCCAAGGGGATGGCCAGTGAGAAGTGCTGGTCTGAGACTTGAGGGATGCTGCCCTGCCTTACCCAGGGAACACCAGCTGGCTGATGAGCCTTGAGAACCCACTTAGTCCCTTCTCCTCGGACATCAACAACATGCCCCTGCAAGAGCTGTCCAACGCCCTCATGGCTGCTGAGCGCTTCAAGGAGCACCGTGACACGGCTCTGTACAAGTCACTGTCAGTGCCGGCAGCTGGCACGGCCAGGCCCCCTCCTCTCCCACGCTCTAATACAGGTGAGCTCTGGCAGGGCTACATGCAGGCCGTGAGCTGCCTGACTGGGGCACACGGTTCCCTCTGCTGAGGCCCCCCATACTATTGTCCTTGCACATCTTCAGGGGATTGCAGGTGCTCTGGGCCCTGATGTTGGGAGCAGGCTCCCATTTGTTGAAGGGACCCTGTTTCTTAGAAGCTGATTCCTGCTGTCTGCCGCTCAGGTGCTGCTGGGGATGGCAGTGTTGGGAATGGGTAGAGCTCAATGGAGCTTGGCTGGCACCCTGTATAGGAGGCCCGGGGACCAGGGCTCCAGGAGACACCACAGGCGAACACACATTTGCCTGGTTGGGGTTGGGGTGCCTGAGCCTGCCAGCCTGTGTGCTCCAGGCCTATTGGCCCCATCCTATGCTGCACCCTCTGGCCTCCCTCATGTGGCCGCAGATAGTACTTAGAGGCTGAGGATGTCTGCTGTCAGGAGAAGTTGGGGAGCGCTGCCCACCCAGAGGTCCCTGCAAGCTGCCTGGAGAGCCGGGAGCCCGAGTGCGCTGGCCCCGGCCGCCGCTGGCCCTCCCCTCTCTCCTCTCCAGGCTCGGGGTCTATGCCTGTCCTCTCTGCTCGGCCTGTGTGTAATCTCTGCTGCTGACGTGGCCGCTCACGTGGTTCCCTTGCAGTGGCCTCTTTCTCCTCCCTGTACCAGTCCAGCTGCCAAGGACAGCTGCACAGGAGCATTTCCTGGGCAGGTATTCGCGCATCCCTTTAAGGAATGATGTTTGCTGCAGAGCGCCGTCTGCTGCAGAGACGCTGTTCTCATCGTCCCTCATCTGGCCACCCCTCCATGACCCTGTCAGCCTCGCCGCCCTCGGGAAGCAGGGTCCCGACCGCATGAGGACACCTGTGCAGATGCCTTGCTTTGCAGTGGGAGCCCCTGACTTGTGCCCTTTGTGCCGAGCCCTGCTCCATGCTGCACGTGGCCTCCAGCAGGTGGGGTGGCCTGGTCTCTGGTGCCAGTAGGTGGCAGCTCTTGGGTACTGAGTTTGGCCTTAGGGCCCAGCTGAGCTGACCTTGCCCTGGTTCATGGTGGCCTGCATCTGCCTTCGTCACAGCTGGCCAGGGTCCCTGCAGACTGGCAGGAAGGGCAGTGTGCAGTGAGTGGGCTGCCGTGTGTGGGCGTCACAGGCTGCTTTAACCCTTGGCTGCTTCTCACCCACGGGCTGCCCTGATGCTGTGCGGAAAATGCTGTCTAGGGACCTTGGTCCCTCACTCCTAGCATACCTGCTGTGGGCCTGGCTGGGACCTGAAGGCAAGCCTCTGGCCTCACAGTGGGCTCAGTCTGTCGATGGCGCTGTCCCCCACATCAGCCTCTTCCTCAGGTCCCAAGTCCTGGAGAAGCTCAGCCTCTTTCCTGGATCTCTGGGGGCTGGTCTCAGGGACTGCACCCCTCCCAAGCTGAGACCATCTTGAATGGGGCTTCTTCCTTGTCCTCCCCCCACCTGCCCACCTTGCTGGAGGTTCAGAGGTGGCTTCTGGTGGACACCTGGGTGGGCAGAGCTGGTGCCCAGTGACCTCTGTGATCCCATAGGAGGCCCCAGTGCAAGGGTCCAGCGACCTCTCCCCAGCTTGCTCCATGGTGACAGCAGCAGGCAGAACCCTGTCCCTTCTGGTGGGGAAGAGCCTGGTATTCTGAGGCCACATGAGTGCCAGGGCCTGACCCAGCCCCCAGCAGCCCCTTCTGTGTTCTCTCAGACTCTGCTGTGGTTCTGGAGGAGGGGAGTCCAGGCGAGACTCATGTACCAGGGGAGCCCCCCGAGTTGGAGGATTTGGAGGTAATGTTAAGTACAGACAGACGTTGCCGGCGCTCTGAGGCTTACAGCAGGGTGAGTGTCGTGGAAGATGCCAGGACAGAGCCCTGCACCAGGGAGGTGGGGGGGGGGGCGCCTGCAGGTGAGAGTCAGCCTGTACCAGACCTCCTGGCCCCACACTAGCTCGCCCTGTGAACCTGGCAGAATTTTATGTTTCTCATCTGAAAAAATAGCTAGCTATTCCACATTCCTCCTACTTGGGGCCATCTGAGTTCCCTGTGGCTATCTGGGATGGCCCCCATTTGCAGTGCCCTTGGTCCATGGGGTCCCAGATCCTTTGCTCAATATGGGCCCAGGGGGGTGTGGGGACCATAGATGCAGACGAGGCCTCTGGAGAAACCTGACCAAGGTCCTCTTTGGGGTCTCACAGTCATCCTCGGCCTCCAGCCAGGAGGAGAAGCCCCACACTGAGGAGCTGGCTGCAGGGGGCATCCCAATTGAGGCAGCAGTCTCCTCTGAGGGTGGCCGGCCCTCCGTGGACCCTTCCTTCCAGCCATCACAGCCCCTGAGCAAGTCCAGCTCCTCGCCTGAGCTGCAAACACTGCAGGACATCCTTGGGAACCCTGGGGACAAGGCTGATGCTGGCCGGCTGAGCCCTGAGGCCAAGGCCCGATCCCAGTCTGGGATCCTGGATGGGGAAAGTGTGGCCTGGGCAGCCCCAGGTGAAGAGGGCCGGGGCCCCGCCGTACCCGAGGGTCCTTTGCCATCCAGTTGCCCCCGCTCTCCCAGTGGCCTCCGGCCCCGAGGCTACACCATCTCCGATTCAGCCCCATCGCGCAGGGGCAAGAGGGTGGAGAGGGACACTTTGAAGAGCAGAGCTGCAGCCTCCAGTGCTGAGAAAGTACCCGGCATCAACCCCAGGTAGGCCTCCTCCCATCCGCAGCTCCCAGACAGTGCCTGGGGACAGGGCAGCTGAGTCACCCCAGGCAGAGCAGGCCAAGGGCAGGTCCTGTTGTCTTCCCTTGGCCAGTTAGGTGCTGGCCCTCTGCTCTCCCAGGGGTGGCCCTGAGCCCCAGCTCCACCCTCACCACCGACCCCTCCCCAGCTTCGTGTTCCTGCAGCTCTACCACTCGCCGTTCTTTGGTGATGAGTCCAACAAGCCCATCCTTTTGCCCAATGAGGTAGGCACACCCTCCTCCCCAGGGAGGCCCCTGCTCTGGGCAGTGGTGGTCAGAGCCCAGCTGGTAGCAGGGACAACCCACCCAGGTAGGGCACTTCTATGGGGTGGGCAGGACCATGGGGTGGCCTCTGGCCAGGGCTCAGACAGGCTCTGTGTGGCTGCAGTCCTTCGAGCGGTCCGTGCAACTCCTTGACCAGATCCCTTCGTATGACACACACAAGATTGCTGTGCTGTATGTGGGCGAAGGCCAGGTGAGGCTACTGGGCTGGCAGGCCCTCTCGGGCTGGGTGGGCTGTGGGCTTCTTCCTGGGGCAGTGGGGGAATGTGCGCCCTCTGCCCCCTCCTCTGGGTACTCCCTTGTCCTCTGATGGTGTTTGTGGAGCCCTGTGACAGGCACTCAGCCGTGAGGCTCATGTTTAGGCATGTGGTAGGTGAGTCGTGAGGACTGTGGGGAGAGGTTCAAGAACAGAAGGTGCAAAGGCCTCTGGGGCAGTCTGGCCCCGAATGAGCACAGGAAGGTGGCAGGAGGTGGGGTGCCGCCCGTCTGGTAGCCTTGGTGGAGTGGGTGGGGTGTGGGGCTAGGCTTCTGGGTGGGGATGGAACCCAGGGTTCCTGCATGTTAGGCAAGCAATGTAGAGACCACTGAACTACAGCCTCAGCACTCTGGGTGTATTTTGAAGAGCGCACTAACCTAAAATTTGCTAGCCCGCTAAATATGGGATGGGAGAGGCAGGAGTCCAGGGTGGTACCATGCCATCTGGCTGGGTAGCTGCCTGCATGGAGTGTGGACAGCAGCAGAGCTCGGGACCCTTGACGGCCGGGCTGGGTGCCACCCCGCTCCTCTGGCTCTCCCCACAGAGCAACAGCGAGCTGGCCATCCTCTCCAATGAGCATGGCTCCTACAGGTACACAGAGTTCCTGACAGGGCTTGGCAGGCTCATCGAGCTCAAGGACTGCCAGCCCGACAAGGTGTACCTGGGTGGCCTGGACGTGTGTGGCGAGGATGGCCAGTTCACCTATTGTTGGCACGATGACATCATGCAAGGTGGGCCACACCTCCTGTGCATGAGTCACTCCTGGGGGCTGGGTGGTGCGGCACAAGGGCTGGCCTGCAGGCAGTGGCTGAGCTGCTGCCCTCAGGGGGGAGCTGTGTGCCAGCAGGGGCATGAGTCTGTGGCTCCAGTAGGCCCTCAGCTGCCAGAGAATCCAGGGGCTGCCTGGTGGGAGGCATGAGGAGCTCCATTGAGACCCTCTGACCCCAGCCCCACACCCCGCATTGTACTGCCCTGCCTGGGGCTGTGCCTACCACCCAGCCCAGCCTCACTTGCCCACAGCTGTCTTCCATATTGCTACGCTGATGCCCACCAAGGATGTGGACAAGCACCGCTGTGACAAGAAGCGACACCTGGGCAATGACTTTGTCTCCATCATCTACAATGACTCTGGGGAGGACTTCAAGCTGGGCACCATCAAGGTGAGTGGGGTCCTTGTGTGTTGGGTGCCCAAGCAACATCTGAGCTCTGTCACCTACATCTTTCCTCCTGGACAGGTCAGAGGCCAAGGTGGCAGCACAGCTGGGATGGGGTGCCCAGGCCCACCTGAGGGGTCATGGCTGGGAGTAGGTTGCGTGGCAGTGTGGAGACCAGGCCTGCCTGCTTTGTCTTCATGGCAGACCATGGGGCCATGTTGGTGGGCAGTGTGTGGGGGTACTGGAGCTGTGTGCCTGTGGACCTAAGTGCTCCAGCATGTCCTGAGGTCCGGGTCAGGCCAGGAGTGGGCTGGGTATGGCTGTCCCCAGGCTGGTGAGGAGCAAGTTCAAGCACAAAGGCAGATGGCAGAGTGTTGCCATCAAGGTCATGAGCCTCTATTACCAACAAGCCTGGTACTGAGGTCAGTGAGGCAGGAGGTGGCCCACAGACATGCTGCTGACAGGATGGCCCTTTCCCACATCTGGGCAGGGCCAGTTCAACTTTGTCCACGTGATCATCACACCCCTGGACTACGAGTGCAACCTGCTGTCACTGCAGTGCAGGAAAGGTGAGGCTCGGGGATAGGTGGGGTGGCACAGGGGCCGAGCCCGGTGTGAGCACCTATCTCCCCAGACATGGAGGGCCTTGTGGACACGAGCGTGGCCAAGATTGTGTCTGACCGCAACTTGCCCTTTGTGGCTCGCCAGATGGCCCTGCACGCAAACGTGAGTGAAGGCAGATCCCGGGGCGGGATGGCAGGCATGTGCCCTGGATGGGGGCTGACCACCCTGCCTCCCGGCCCCAGATGGCCTCACAGGTGCACCACAGTCGCTCCAACCCCACCGACATCTACCCCTCCAAGTGGATCGCCCGGCTCCGCCATATCAAGCGGCTCCGCCACCGGGTAGGACAGATGAGGTTCCCTCAGAGATGTGCTGACAAGGGTTGGGCAAAGTGTGTGCCACCCCTCCTGGGCTTGCTGCCAAGGCCCTCTTTCCCCCTCAGATCCGTGAGGAAGCCCACTACTCGAACCCCAGCCTGCCTCTGCTACAGATGCAGTCCACAGCCCACCCCAGAGCTCAGGCTCAGGCCCCAGCTGAGGCCACAGCCACCTGTGAGGCAGGCCAGCGGAAGCGCCTCATCTCTTCAGTGGACGACTTCACCGAGTTTGTGTGAGGCCGAGCATGTGCCCAGGGCTTGCTGTGGCCAGGCTTGTGGCCACCTCCTCCCTGTCCCCCCACAGGATGATGGACAGTGTTCTGTATACATGAAAATAAATTGGCCATGTGTCCCCGGCACTCAGACTCAGGTGCAGGTAGCAGTCAGACAGCTCCTTTATTTGACTTTGTCCGTTTTGTGGGGTTGGGGGCAGGATTGAGGCTATACCTGCAGCTGTGGCCCCAGAAGTGAGCATGCTCAGATCCTGGGTCTCTTGGGGACAGCCCCTCCCACATCAGTGGAGCCCTGGTACTCACACCCAGACCTCCACCTCACACACTCACACTGTCACACGCTCACCTCCCCAGTCCTGGGAGCCAGCCCCAGGAGGGTCCTTTCCCCTGCCTGCCTGTCACCCTTCACTCCTGCCCTTGCCTAGACCGGACACCGGCAGGCTGGGTGCTGCCTTGTCATCACCAGGCCCTAGGCAGGGGAGTGAAACAAAGGGTGCGGTGGTCCGGGGCAGCTGTGCCCCAGACTCTGACCCAGCCACAGGGCCTAGCTTCAACCACCAGGTCCATCAGCCCTAGTGAAAAATAGTGACATAGAAAAACACACACATTTTAACCCTGTATAAATTACTAATGGTAGACACATGACGGGGGGCGGGGCACTGGAGGCGAGTGCGCTGCGGGGGCGGAAAGGAGAGGTAATAACTTAGGGGCGGACCACAGGAGGTGCAGCTCAACTCTCCTGAAAGCCTGGATCCTTAGCGAGGGGGATATGGCTGCCCAGGGGTGGGCCGGGCACAGCCCGCTGTACCTGAGGACTGGGGGAAATAAGTTAGCGACTCAGAGCCAGGTTCTCGCTGGTCCAATGCTGCTGTTCCTGCAGGGAGCTGGGGAGGGGCCCTGGGTCCTGGCTGGTCACAGCCTCTTTAAAGTGCTGAAGCCCAGAGACAGGCAGACCCACCCGCCTGCTCCCTGGGAAACCTGCGTGTAGCTGTTCTGCCCGACCCGAAACCCTGAGGGTGGCAGAAGATAATACTGAGCGGTGTCCACCCTGGCTCCAAGGGGCCAGAGCAAAGCCACAGGCCCTGCCCAAAAGAAGGGGCATGGCCCAGATTCCCTGGGGCTAAGGACTGCTAGGGTGGACCTTGTTTTTAGCCCACAGGCATGGCCTGCTGCGTCCTACGGCCAGGTCCATACCCCGACCTGGCTGAGCAGGGTGGCTGGGCAGGAGTGGCCTGGTGCTGGGGGATGGTGAGGTGGGAGTCCTGCTGCTCTTGTGGCCTCGCAGGCTCTGCAGCTGCTGCTCCAGCTGGTAGACGTCCTCCGTGGCCTGGTTGAGGCGGTCAAACTGGGTCAGCAGGGCCTCAAACACAGCAAGGAGGCGGGAGGGCTCTGGCTCAGACTCCCCCCGTGGCCCCGGGTGGCCCAGGCCCACACTCAGCCCGTCCTGCTGGCTGGAGGCAGTGGAGGGGTGTGAGGCACTGGAGCCAGCGCTGGGTGGGGGTGCGCCTGGGGAGGACTTGGAGCCCCGGGATGAGCGGGAGGGCAGTGGTTCCATTCCTTCAAAGCGAACCTTGTGGCGGAACTGGGGGCGGCACAGGGGCTCGGTCAGTCCGGCTGCACCCTGGGCTCGCGGGGCCCAGGGTGCGTCCCTCTCCCCCCCACTGGGCCGTACCCACCTCTTTGACCTTACTGAAGCCCATCCAGAGGCGCAGCCTGCGCAGAAACAGCTCCACCATCTCGTAGTCCTGAGGCTCCCAGGCTGGGCGGTACAGCTCTCCCCGCAGGGCATGATAGCGCCAGTGCAGGAGGACCGCGCCCAGCCTCAGGGCGCCCCACAGCCGCAGACCCCAGAGCCCCACACACAGCAACGGGGACAGGGTCCAAGAATCAGCGGGACACAGGATGGGGCCCCGGGACCCTGGGCACAGCACTAGGAGTGTCCGGGCCGCGTTCAGGAGGGAGTCCATGCAGGAGACCAGCTGTGGGGAAGCAACACCAGTGAGGGGGTGGCCAGGCCAAAGCCCTCCCGGAGGGTCCCTAGCACAGTCACCTACCAGAACAGCCAGCTGGGCATAGGCCACACCGAGCACAACCAGTCCTAAGGTGGCTCCTGCAAGCTCCGGCAGGGCGCGGCAGAGCGTCTTACCAAAAACTGACCACTGTCGAACGAACCGTAGCTGCTGCGCGGCCTGCAGGTGGGGGGCGTCAGCCTGCGGCGCTGGGTCTGTGCCCAGCCCCGTGCCTGCCTGTCCTGTCCTCACCTTGACCAAGAGCAGGAAGAGCAGCGAGGCGGCCAGGCCTCTGGCAACGGCACTCAGCTGTGCGACTTGGTCGAAGCTTGTGAAGTGGCGCGGGCGACCGCTCACAAAGCGGGCCCACTGGCGGTCAGCGGCACCCAGCTGGGCCAGGCGCACCAGCGCCGTGGATGCGGTCAGCGCCACCAGCAGCCACCGTGCCCAGGCCCCAGGCCGCACTAGACGAAGACAGCCCTGTCTGCGCCAGGTGCGCACCTCCGCTACTGAGAAGTACATTGCGAACAGCAGCAGGCACACCTGTGGGTGGCCGCAGGCGAGGTCATGAGCCTGCAGGGGAGTGGCCTGCGGGGAGGGGCCGGCTGGGAGGGGAGGGGCCGGCTGGGAAGGGAGGGGCGGGCCGGGACTGAGGAGACCCCACCCCTCAGGTGGAGGGGCCAGGCCCAGCCCTGCCAGCGAGCTGCCTACCGAGGTGAGCAGAGGCAGTGACAGTCCGGAACTGAGGCGCCGCAGTGCAAATGGGCGGATGCTGAGGGCCGCCAGGGCGCGGCCAGCGGTGGGGAACTCGAGGCGCAGCGTGACGGCGGCATGCAGCCCCACAGCTGGGCTGTAGCGCGTCAGCTCCACGAACACTGCACGGCTCCTGCACGGAGGGCACGGTCGGTGGGATAGGTCATGCAGAGAGGGCCTGATGAGGGCAGGGGGCGCGACGCAGGATGGTGGGGGTGGTCATTGCATTTGGCCAGTGAGGAGGCCTCCCAGGAAGACTAGTGACAAAGCCACGGAGAGCTGGCTGGGAGGGAGACTCAGAGGCCTGCAGGGGAAGCACCTGCTGGGACAGGCAGTGCCCACCTGCTGTCCAGCCAGTTGTGCAGCTGCAGGAAGCCCAGCCTCGCACGGCTCTCCTCAAGACTCAGGCCCAGCTCCTGCACGTAGCCGCCGCTGTCGTACACGGCACAGTATCCCCAGTACCAGGCACTGTGGGGAGGACCAGTATTGGAGCCATCCCAGCCTGCAGGCACCTGGGAGCCAGCAGCTGGCGAGGGGTTCCTCTAAAGGCCCCCTCCCACCTGCAGGGGCCCCAGGGCCCTGGCTCTGCTCACCCCAGCATGTCAGGAGCAGAGTAGGTCCAGGACTCAGAGTCGTTGTGGGCTCCACTCTGCCAGCCAATGCCATGGTCACTGGTGCTGAAGCCTCCTGCGGCTGAGCACATGGGCACTCCTGAGCCCAGAGAGTCTGGGCAGAGTGCTAGAATGCAGAGGAGCCCAGGTCGCGGTCACACCCCAAACAGGCAAGTTCACTGCTCTACCAGCTGGGTTAAGCTCCTACGCTGCCTGACCTCCCAGAACCTTCCCAGAAACCCAGGAGGTAGATATTGTCCTCTCTTGTTTTACAGAAAGGAAGCTGAGTCAGGATGAGGGTGAACATCACACAGCTAAGCTGTGCAGCTGAAATATGGCAGCCACAGCTGTATGGAAGGAGCAAGGGTAAGTGCGGACAGCTCCACCTGCCTCACCTTCTTGCAACCGCACTTGCCGCAACCGCGGGGGCCCCAGCTCGGGGCTGGACTGGTTCCCGTGGACGTAGGGCAGCAGCACATGGGACATCCACGGCCAGAACTCATCAGACCTGCCATCAGTGGAAGAAGACAGAGTCACACACTCCAGCCAGTGGCTTCCCTGTTCCACTTGGCCAGAGTCCCAGAAAGCTCTATAGCTGCAGCATGAGAGGAAAAGGCTAGAGCATGGTGCCTTGTCCGTCCTAGGGCTGTGCTGTGCACTGTGGCATGCGTAGCAGTCTCCCTGGTCTCTGCCCACTGGACACTGGTCGCACCTCTTTCATTGCTCACAACCAACATGTACCTAGATATTTCCAAATGTCCTCAAGGGGCTGGGCTGATCTAAGCAAGATCAAAGTTGGTCTTGGTGGGCATCAGTGTCACCCTGGCCCAACAGACAAGTGTGTGTCCTGGGGTGTCCCTACCGAGTGATGGCCAAGAAAGCCCGGCTATCCAGCTCCTGCTTGATGGCATTCTGCAGACGGTAGGCATGGCCGTGGCACGAGACGTCTCCATAATTGGCCAGCAGCGTCACCAGCAGGAAAAGCATGTACACCAAGAGGCTCTGGGGACAGGGATAGTGTTGCTGTGAGTGGATCCCAGGCCACAGCATCAGGGCAGGGGTTTAGGATTGCTGGTCAGCAAACCATCCCTGGCCAGGGTATCTGGCATTAAGGAGCAGCACAAATACCCCACCAGGGCCTCTCCTAGAGGCAGACACACAAGCAACTGAAGAACAAGGCTACTGCGCCCAGGGCCCTATAAAGCCAGGCATGGTGGCCCACACCTGGAATGCCAGTTCTTGGGAAGCTAAGGCAGGAGGATCTCAAATTCGAGGCCAGCCTCAGGAACTTAGCGAGACCCTAAGCAACTTAGTGAAACCCTGTTTCAAAATAAAAAATAAGGTGCTCAGACATGGCTCAGTGGCTAAGTGCCCCTGGGTTCAATCCCTGGTACACCCCATGACCCACCAAAAAAAAAAAAATGAATGGGAGCAGGGATTTGGGATGCCCAGCAGCATGGAGTGGGGCTGGTCGGTTTAAGGGGTGAGGAGTCAAGGCAGGAGCTGCAGCACTTCAAATGCCCACCAGAGGGCATTCTGTGGTCAAGAAAGGGGGACATGCATGTGCTGGCCAGGAACTAGGAGTAGGGGGATGGAGAGCAGGTGCTGCTGCTGGGGCCCGAGCTCACCCTCAGCATGCCATGCAGCCTCTTGACCTTGCGGGCTTCCTCCTTCGCCAGGAAGAGTGCAAAGCCATGGGGGGGGCGCACCCGGGGCACTCGCTCGCTCACAGGGGTCACAGCTGGACTCTCCACCAAGGTGTCGTCTTCATCTGGGTGCAGCCGCTTGGCCACCAGTGAGAAGTAGAGGGCTTCCAACAGGACCTGAGGTGCGGGTGGCATCAGCCAGCCAGCAAGAGGCCGGCGGCCCCACCCCATCCAACCCACTCACCTTAAGTGGCTCCCAGCCGAGGAAGGAGGCCAGGAAGCTGGAGCTGCTCGAGAGGAGCCACATGACGCTCACATTTGGGGGGAAGCTGGCACCGACCCACCCTGAGACCCCCACAGCCACAGCCACCAAGAGCAGGCTGAGCCCGTGGGCCAGGGAGGCACACCATGTAGGCAGCAGGTGCTTCCGCAGACCCTCCGCTAGTCCTGAGGACAGAGATAGCTGTGTGACTGCACGCCCAGAGGGAGGGTGTGGAAGGGGTATCTGACCTATGAGCGCACCTGTCCTGGAGAGCCCTGCCAATGGGGGCTGTTGCCCAGTCAGGCCCGGGCTGGGTGGCTGCTTCTTTCCCAGCCTCTGTAGTGTCAGTACTTCCGTCTTCTCCCCTGGAGCACTGGGCCTGAGGCACAGGGCAAGAACCATGGACTCTGCACACCCCCCAGGCAGGGGCACTGCCATGGCCCACACTCATCTGCTGGGCAGTTCCCAAGCCTCTCCTAAGTCAGGTGGGTGTGGTGCTGGGAGCTCAGAGATACCATGGCCACTCTCCCCTTGCTTCCTGCTTACACACCCACTTCCCAGCACATCCTAGGGAACCCCTCATCCCTCCGAGACAGGAAGCAGGGCTAGTTGGTCTGAGCTCCCACTGCCCCAACCAGACCCATCTGAGAATGACCTCTCCCTCAGGAACGAGCACTCACAGGCCAGTGAGCAGGTCTGATTCTACATGGGCATCTTGGGCAGGAGCCAGGCTGCTGGCCCCTTCAGCCAGGACCCGGCGGATCAGGTCTTCATCTAAAGGAAGCAGGACACATCAGGCAGGGTTGGACACCCAGGGTTCAGGCCTTCCCTCCTTCCCACCCTGGCTCACCTGAGGCTGAGAAGTATTTGGAAGGTGAGGAGTGGCTGACCAGAGAGAGGCCATCCTCCTCTGGGCCCAGTCCATGGCCCAGTTGGCCCCGAGCCAGGCGCTGCAGGGTGCTGCCCATGATGGATGGGTCACTGAGCAGGTCTGGCCAACTGAGTGTGCCTTCGCTGGACGGCCAGCACACTAGGCTGTGGGGTGACACGGATCAGCAAGGGTTCAGGCAGGGGACACACCTCTGCATCTACTTGAACCAAGCCCAGTCACACACACAGCTACGCAGGCACTGAGCACAGGGGCAAGGGTAACCTGAGCAGACCTGTGGGTACAACATGACAATGCCAGAGACCACACATGCTGGACAAGGGCACACAGACAGGCACAGCCGGCCTAGGCCAAGGCTCACCATTCCTCTAGGCAGCCCTACCTTTTAGAATCATCCAAAAACAAGTCGCCCTTCATTTGCCCAGCCAAGGCCTGTTGACAAGTACACAGACGCCTTAGAGTGCAGGCGCCTGAGGCAGCAGGACCCCAGCTCAGGCAGGGCCTCCACCTGCCACAACCCCTGCAGTGCCACGACCCCTGCAGGAGTCTCACCTCAGCACGGAGGCCTGCAAAGGTGAGAAAAGAGCTGTCCAGCACAGAGGAGTCCAGGCAGCTGTCCACATCCAGAGCCTGAGGTCCTGTGGGGGTGGGGCTCAGGCCCCCAGCCACCTGCAAGGAGACCACAGGTGGTCAGCAGGAGCCAGCTCTGGCCCCTGCTCAGGGGAGCAAGATAAGCCATCTCCTGAGCAGATATGATGGCCCAGACTAGTATTGCGCAAGAATGTTCTAGAATGATAGGCATGTTCCAGACCTACACTGTCACTGTAGACTCCAGCTACATGTCACTCTTAAGCCCTTGAAATATGACTAGTGCAACTAAAGAAATGAATCTTTGGGGTTGGGCAGGTAGCTCAGTGGTAGAGTGCTTGCCTCGCATATGCAAGGCCCTGGGTTCGATATTTAGCACCACACTAAAAAAAAAAAAAAGCTTTGATTTTGCTTATAGCACTGTCCTCGATCCCTGGGGCAAACGCCTTGGCCACATTGCCCCTCGTTGGTGCTGCAGGCTCCATGTGCACGGCACTGCTGAGGAGCAGGGGTGTGCCTCTGTAAAGGACGGTGCAGCACTTTTCTTTCCTTGTGATCTCCTTGTCTGGCTGTGGTGCTAAGACAGTGCTGGCCTCATGGAAAAGTTAGGAAGTGTCCCTTCCTCTTGTTAGAGGAGTTTGAAAAGCACTGGTATGACTATTTAATCTTTAACTGTGCAGGAGAATTCATCCATGAAGCCATCTGGCCTGGCTTTTCTTTGTGGATGCCACTTTGGCTTCCTCACTCACTGTGATGCTCCACCTACTTCTCGGGGCTGCTCTGGCAGTGCCTCCAGTTCTGCGGTAGGTCCCCTGCTCTTCTCTGCCTGGGGCAGGTAGGACTCATGGTGTTCCGTGTCTGTCCTATCAATTTCCATGAGGTGCATGACAACGTCCCCTTTCATTCATGATGTGGTAATGTGAGTCTTCTCTGTCTTCTTCTTTTTGGTCAGTGTAGCTAAGATTTTGTCTATTTTGTTGACCTTTACAAAGAATTGGCTTTTGGTTCTCTGATTTTTTTCCCCTTTGGTCACTGCATTGGGCAGCATAGTTCTCAGCCCAACAAAGGGGTTCACGCTCTACCCTGGAGCTCTGAGCCCCGGCCCCAGCCCACCTTGCTCCGGGTCATCCGGAAGAGGAACAGAATGGCCAGGTAGACAGGGTAGACGACAACGCTGGACACCAAGCCAATAGCAATTGTGTCAGCACTGGGTGGGATCAGACTGGACATAGGCCCCACACTGTGGCAGGAGAGAAAACCCAGGCTGGGTTAGGATGGGCAGTGGGCCCAAGGCACTGGGCGAGGGAAACCATCCTGACCCATAGGCACCCACCTGTAGGTGGCGTCTCCCACGACCCCATACCACACAGCATTAGCACCCAGGAAAAGGCAGAAGAGAAGGACACAGCAGGTGGCCCTCTGGACACGAGTGAAGCGGCTCCGAGGTGGCCGGTCCCACATGGAAAGCCAGATGTGCTTGTCAAAGAAACCCCGCTGCAGCTCGGCTACAAGCAGGCGCTGGAACCGCCACAGGGCCGCCTCACCTGGGAGGAGACACAGCAGGCTGCAGAAAACCCCCAGCCCCAGCCCCAGCCCCGCCCGCGGCAGCAGCATCTTCACCTGCGGCTGGCAGCCTCACCTGCAGCCAGCACTTCCTTCTCCACCAGGCCCCCGTTGGACTCCGTCTCCACAGACAGCCAGTCGTTGACCAGGAAGAAGGTGCTGCGGCCATTCTGCAGGTCCCTGACAATGATGTGCTGCAGGAACCAGGCGGGGCTGAGCCCTGTGGAAGGGACGGGATGAGGTGAAGGCTGCGGGGTGCTAGTGGGGACAGGGCACGGCAGCACCGCCCCAGACCTTTGTTGTCGTGCCACACTCTGATTTTCCACACGTCGCCCAAGCTGTGCGGGGTGGCGATCTGGAAGATGTCCAGGCTGTTGCGGTGGAAGGCTCTGTCCCCATCCAGGTGCCGGTGGCCACTCCGACTATCTGCCCCATACAGCATGATGCCCACATGGGCTGTGGTACCTGGGGATGGGAAAGGTGAGCTGGGTCTGCTGCCCACTGCATACGGAACCAGGCAAGTTATCCAGTCACAAGCACGGGAGCCCCTGTTCTGCAGTTGTGCTGTTTTTCGGTGGCACCGAGGATTAAACCCAAGGCCTTGCACATACTAGGCGAGGGCTGTACCACTGAGTCACATCCCAGCCCTTTCTTGTATTTTATTTAGAGACAGTGTGTCATTGAGTTGCTTAGGGCCTCACTAAGTTGCTGAGACTGCCTTTGAACTCTCGATCCTCCTGCCTCAGCCTCCCGAACCACTGGAATTACAGGCATGTGCCACTGCACCTGGCTAACTCATGTGAGTTCTGAAAAATGGATAATCAAAGAGAGAATTAGACAACACCAGTGAGAATACAGCTAAAAAATGAAAAATGGCAGGCCACAGGTGTCTATCTGGGTGGTAGGGGTATGCCCAGCATGCATGAGGTCCTGGGTTCAATCCTCAGTACCCAGAGGAAAAAAAAAGAAAGAAAAATGGTAACACTGAAATTCAAATCAAAGGACGTCGGAGCTGCTGCAGGGGTGGCCGGAAGGAGGCTGTGCTGCCCTATCCAACACTCGACAGGCGACCAGTGCCAGACCGACTCCCCCAGGTAAGGGAGGTGGTCAGAGGAGGTGGCTGTCCCAGCAGTTCAGGGACTGAGGAAACCTCCCAAGGAATGCAGGGAGACACTGCAAAGTACCAAACACCAGGAGAAGGGAAACGCTGGAAGTCGGCAGGCCTCAAGTGTGACACTCACCAGGCACAGAAGGGCTCACTCCCGAGGCACACGAGGCAGAAGGCTTGCATGACGCAACAAGCACTGGAGCTCGCGTCAAGTCGTGTGCTAAGAACACACGCGTTTCCCTGTGTGTCCTGACACATGTGGAGTTCACACTGGTGAACCTACTGCGTGTGTTTTGAAAGAAATTTCAAAGGTCACAGAACAACCTTCATTGGTGGCTGAGCTCATGTTCGCTGTCTGCCTGAGCCCACGCTTGCAGCCCCACACTGCAGAGCAAGGACTACCCACAACTGTCCTACGAAGGATGACCAGGGTCTGTGAGGTCACCTCAAGCCTCCACGAGCCAGCCCGCTGCGCAGCACTCGGGAGCCTGAACACCTGCAGGACACCCATCACCATGATCACTGCAGAAGCTGCCAGAGCCTGGGATGGCAGCTGGGGCCCAGAGCGGGCAAGTCCCAGATTCCCATCCACTGTTGTCCTCCCTCACCTGCGCCTCGGCCCCAGCCGGTCTTGACCAGGATTTCATACTTGAAGTGGCCTCCCCTCCCACAGAAAGGGATGATGCGGGCCCGGCCAACATCCAGCTGGTCCAGCTTGCGCAGGATCACAGCCATGACCACGTAGGTCAGCAAGCACACAGTGCAGGTCAGCAGAACAATGGAGTTCACGCCACTGGCTGGCTCCTGGGAAGACAGAGCCACCAGCCATTCACAGGCCTCCCCAAGGATAGAGCTGGAGTCCACTCAGCCCTCTCACCCTGCAGAGACCAAGGAATGGGCCACTCACAGGAAAAGTGAACTGGACACGACTGGGGGGCACAGAGAGGCTGGCGCCAAAGGCAGTCAGGTGGCGGGTGAGGCAGACAGCCTGGTGGGGTGAGGTTTCCTCCAGGGGCACGAGCCCCTCGGTCCTCCACATCATCTCCTCCTCACTGAAGTACTGGCACAGGGAGGTGTACAGGCCCACGGACACCTCCAGCGCTGACCAGTGGAAGTGGTTGGTTAGGTTCAGGTAGTAACTCCCGCCTGGGTCTCGGGTCCTGCTAAGGACAGGGCAGGTATCACAGCCAGATTCCACTGGGTTCCAGGATCCAGGCCTGGAATGTTCTTGCCTCAGATGCTGGGCCTGGCCAGCCACCCAGCCTTCTGCTGCCACTGATTCTTGGAGAGCCCACGTGCCCTTGGCCAATACAGACCAAACCATGTCCGTCCTGCCCCAGCCCACTCCAAGACCCATTCTCTCCAGCCCAATAGAAGGTGCTCACCCCGGGGCGATGAAGAAGGTGTAGGGCCTGTGGTCAGCACCCCGGAGCACCTCCAGGCTGACCCTCCTCCTGGCTGAGCAGTTGTGTTCATTGGGTTGAGGCGCCGAGTGCAGGTAGACTGCCAGGTAGGGCTCGGGCTCCTCAGACAAGTGGCGCTCTGGGGGTGGTGTGCATGGCACTGGATGCCCATCCAGGAAGCCTGCCCACCCTGGGACACCCTCTGAGGCCTACTGCCACAGGGCCTGAGAGTCCATCTGAGCATAGGGCTGCAGAAGCCTCCACATGGAGCAGCCTGTGCTCCTCCATTGCCCCAAATGCCCTTCAAGCAGGCCCCACATAGCAGGAGGCAGACCTGAACTGCAGCCACAAGCCTGACAGTGTCTCTTCCCCAGGGACAAGGCTAGGAGGAAGGGAAGCTGGGCCACATGCTGCCCATGATACTCACCGCTGAGTACCACGTAGGTGACCTGCAGGTGCAGCCCCGCCTCAGGGCTGCTGCTGTCTGGGGTAACCACAACACTGATTGAGGTTTGGGGCTGGACGATGGCAGAGCCTGCAGGGGCACAGGGACTCTGGTCCGAGTTGTTAGGCACCTTCACTGTGATGGCACGCTCTGTGGCCAGCCGTTCGATGGGGATTTGGGCACCAGTCTGTGTCTGGAAGGCCATGGAGGCCACCTTGGTGGAGACAGTGTAGTTGCTGATGTAGCCAAATGGGAAGGGATTGGAGTCTACAATGAAGATGAGCTGCACCACGTCACTGAGGTTGGACAAGGCCCCGCTGAAGGCCTCCGGGATGGAGAAATGGCAGCCAGGACCCGAGGTGTTGCCGTAACACAGCAGGCTCAGTGGATCTGAGCGCTTGCCCTGGGCCACAATCTCCTCGCCCACCAGGGTCAGTGGCTCCTCGTTGAGCACGCGGGAACGCATGAGGATGCGCATGAGAGCCGAGGAGAGGTTGTAGGCCTTGGACGCCACCATCAGTGAGGGTGGCTCAGCCCCCAGCTCTGAGGGCTGGAGGCCCTGTGCCTCTGAGCTGGCCAGGTGGATGAGGTCACCTGCAGATGGGCACAGGAGGTTGGGGACCCCGGCGCAGACTGCTGGAGGCTGGGGGAGGGGAGGCCCTTGCCCACACCTGTGATGTTGAGGATGCTGTCTGCGATGGTGGTGGGGGTCACAGTGCCCTCGGTGGTCTCTGCCTGCAGGATGCGCATCATCCCCTCCAACTTGTGCAGCGTTGTCTTCAGACAGGAGCGGCACACAAGCTCTCTGCTGGACACCTGCGTGGAGGCCAGGCAGAGTCCAGGCCCACTCTGCCCACACTCAGCAGGCTGCCCGCCCACACGTGCCAGCGTGCAGGCAGCCTGCCTCCAGGTGCCCTGGCTCAAGCTGCAGCACCTGCCCAGGCCTGAAGCGCCGAGACCCTCCCTGCTGCGTGCGATTCTATGGACCCTCCCACCCCCGGGGAACATCCAGGCTCCTCCTGGGACCCATGTAATGTGGCCCTACCAGCCACTCAGAGTGTCTTTTCACACAACTAAAAGTAAGGCAGATGCTGAGGCTCTGGTCCAGCCATACAGGCCATAGAGCAACAGGGCAGCCTCCATCCAGAAAGCGCTCTGCTGCCCTATACTCTTGAGGACTTGACCCTACTCTCCAGCCTCTGGAGCCATCCCCTCCCCACCCTGGCAGATGTCCCCTGCCCTGCTCACGAGTCTAGACTTGGGGCAATGAACACCTATGGGTAGACACCACATCAGATGGGCTAAGTAAGTGGGGTGTGACCACAGTCCCAGGAGGAAGGCACAAAGGAGAAACTTTGTGCCAGCCCCTCCCTATACGTGGACTATTCTTTCTTTCTGGGCCACCCGACAGGACCATCAAGGGAACACTGTGCACTTATGCTGGGCAGCAGCAGCAGAGGACTGGCACAAGCCAGGAAAGGAGCTCCTAGGCTGGAGATCCAGCATGCACAGCTAATGCTACCACAGGGCCTGGGTGTTTGGAGGGCACACTGCTCCTGGCTACCCTACCATGCACTGGGCCAGCGCAGCAGTGATCTGCTGGATGTCATCCACAGTGTTAACGCGAAGGGACACCAGGGTCTCTGTGATGTTCTTGCGCACCTGGGCTCGCAGCTGCCGTTCATGGTGGGGTTCGGCTGCCATGTCTGGGGCCTGCTCATACTGGAATGGGTGGGGAGCACAGGGGCTATCAGTGGGCAGGTACCCAGTCACACATGGCTCTGCACTGGCTACTGTGAGTCAGGGACTCAAAGCCCTGAGTTGTCTCCTCAAGGGCAGAACAGGGCATGTGCAGGACACCCTGCAGGCTCGGCTGGACCTGACAATGGGGAAGGTCTGGCATGTACTGGCTGCTGAAAGTAGACACTATCGTTTCGAGGATTTTAGGGGGCTGGAGATAGAGTTCAGTGGTAGAGGATTGCCTAAAGTGCACAGGCCATGAGTTCAACTCCCAGTACTACACACCCACACACACACCCTCTCTCTCAAGGACATCTGGGATTTAGCTAGTTGAGGGTCCAAAGATGAGACCTTTGTGAGGATGTCACGAGTTCTGGCCCCATAGAGCAGGTGCTGGGGGATCCCTGTTGGCCCACCCCACTGACCTCATTGAGCACAGTGATGAGGGCCAGCGAGTACTCAATGACGTGCTGGGGGTCAGCTTGCCTCAGTAGCCCAGGTAGCACAATGGAGGTCAGGCTGTGCAGCCAGGGGGTGAGGCCCACAGAGCTGCTATTGGGCTCTGGAAGGACAATGGCCAGAGACCTACAGGGCAGAGGTGAGCCATGAGCCAGTGACATTCACCACATTTCCCCCCACTCCCCCCGCCACCCCACCCCCTGGGTCCAGCTCACCTGTTGAGGGCAACCACTGCGGCGCCCAGCTGATCCTGCACTACCACAGCCAAGTCGACTTCAAAGTGAGGCCGGAAGCCAGGTGGCAACACAGCGGCATAGGCTGAGAGGCTGCCCTTATAGACGCAGAACTCCTCGCAGTGGCCCTGGCGACAGCGCCGCAGTAGCAGGGCGTACACCAGTGGGGCACCGGCATCCTCCGCATCGCGCCAGCCTGCAGGGTGCACAGCGTCAGCAAGGTCCCTTGCCGGCCCGCGGCCCGCCCCCAGGCCCGCACTCACCAGCGCACTCGAAGTGCACCTTGGTGGTGAGCGCGCGCACGGCCTCCAGTGGGAAGAGTCGGCAGGAGCCCCCAAGCGGCGGGCGGTTGGGCGAGAGGCGGATGGAGGCACAGCCCTCTTCTTCGCCCGAGCTGCCCAGCACGCTGAGCGTGAAGATGTAGCCCTCACCGTCGCGCAGCACGCCCCGCCGAACTACCAGTCGCATGCCAGAGCTGCCCGTGGACGTGGTCGTCTCGTCCAGCACCAGCGTCTTGTTGCTGAAGGTGCGTGCGGCCCAGCGCTGCACGACGCAGCGAAGAAGTCCGGGTGAGAACAGGGCCAGAGCCACCGACAGCCCCGCCCACCGCCCTGCCTCCGCTGCTCACCCCTCGCTTGGAGCCGCTGCTACAGTTTTCGCAGCGGCCCTCCAGGTATATGTAGGAGCTGCGGCTCACTTCGTACACCGCCTGCGCCTTGCAGGACACGCACTCCAGAGACACAATGGGCACCCGGCCGCTCCGGATGGATACCTGGAGCGGGGGCGGGCAGTCACCTGAGATGTCTCAGGTCCAAACTAAGGAAAGTGCAGAGATGGGGGCTTTCCATTTCCCAGTCCTGGGAGGGGTTAGTCCACTAAGGAGCAAGAAGCCAGTGGGGCTTGCCTGCAGCCCAGGGGCTTGCTAAGACTGGCAGGTGACACAACTGGAGTGAACAAACCAAGGCGTTGAGCAGTCCACACAATGCTGTGCTTCTACTGCCCTAGGCAGGGCCTGGTAAGACAACCCAGCCAGCCTACCTGCCTGGTATGCCCTCTTCTGGAGATAACTTTTCTGGGTAGGAGTGTCTCCTAGGCAGGCCAATTGAGAAGGCCTGGTGGTGGGGAGACATCTCCCCAGGATGCCCCAGCACACCCCACTGGCAGGACCTGCCCCACAGAGTGGCCACCACCTGCACTGTGGTCCTAACTTTCCTGGCCAGGGCAGAAGGCTACGAAGGCAAGAACTGGCCCCTTCCATCCAGAAGCAAAGACATGTACACCCTGGGTACAGTGACTGCCTCTGCAGCAGGAGGCAGACCAGTTTCTCACTGTCTGCTTTTTGCACCAGCTGGCACAGAGCCATTGTCTACAGCACACCAGAGCTTGCATGGCCCTTAAGATCTCACGGGGAGCTGCACCCTGGTTTGGAGGAAGGCCATGTCAAAGGGGGATATTTACTATCAAGCCCTTGAAAGAAAGGGGAGTAGAGCTGGGCACTGTTAGGACACTGTCTAGGCTCGGTCCACTGGGACAGGGGCATCACCCACCGTCTGGCTTGCAGCCTCCTCCTTCCGGCCCGCCTTCCACACTGTGAGACTGAAGGTGTACTGCACACCGGCCACCAGGCGCTCCCGAGGGATGGTTACTACGCTGCTCCCACGGGGCCCAAGGTTCAGCAGACACCCACTGGCCTCACTCTGCAGCCCACAAATGAGGGAGACAGTGAGGTATGAGACCCCCATCCAGCCTCAATGCAGATAGGGCTTGGGGCTTTCCTGGCCAGTCCAGGGCAGGGAACTATGAGGGCAAGAGCTGGTCCCCTCCTTGGTCCCATGCAGGAACCAAGGCCCAGTCCAAGACCATGTGGAGTGCTGGGCATTCCCTGGACATAGCACAAGTCTGAGGGGCAGAGAGGATGTACCGCCGTGTGGCTGACCTGAGTTGAGGCCACACAGGCCCAGAGGAAGTTTAGTGATGTCTGGTCACCATCCTCCAGATTGGGATCGTAGGACTTGCTCCCATCCAGCACGAGGTCCTGCGTATCTGACCACACACGGTAGGAGCCACCTTCAATGATGGGCACCAGGCGTTCAGCAGCCACAGTCACATTGGCCTGAATGCTCCGTGCCAACGGCGTGTCCCCAAATGACACCACAAACACGAAGCAATAGTGGCCCACAGGAAGTGCCAGCCGTGGCACCACCAGCTGGGGCCGGCTCATGTCCACACCAGGCAGGGCCACTTGTGCCACACGCCCCAGCCGCTGGCAGCTGGTGGTGCGGTATACCTCCCATCGGTACTCAGTCTGGTAGGTGACACAGTCCCGTAGGTCAACGTGGGCCTCCAGGTAGTTCCGTTGGGAGCGCCGCATCAGCACCTGCAGGGGCAGGGCCACATCCACCTCGGGCTCCCTGCAGGCCAGAACCTGGACAGTCACCGTGGCCTGTGCCACAAAGAAGCTCACCAGGTTGGAAGCATTCACCTGTACTCGGTAGTCCCCAGGCTGCAGGTAGGAATGGTCAGCCCAGGGCTCCTCTGTGTCCTGCACTGGATCCCCATCCCCAAAGTCCCAGTGGTAGGCCACTCGCCGGGGGCTCGGGCTTGTGGCAGCCTCAAATCGGGCTGAGCGGCTGGCAAAGCAGCGGCCACTCCTCAGCTCCACGTGCTGGATGACATCCTGCACCTCCACAGAGAGTGTCATGTTCACGCCGCCCAGCTCATTGAAAGCACGCACCTGGATCTCCAGCAGCCCCGCTGCAACAGGGGTATAGGTGACATCACGGCCTGACAGAATGACCAGCGAGTCACCCTGAACCTTCTGCAAGGAGAAGTACCAGGCGTAGGCAACTCGGGAGCCCCGCTGCACCCGGGCTGTGAAGTTCTTCTCAGTGCCCGTGGCCATGCCTGGCTCGCAGCAGTTGGGCACCTGCAGCCCACCAACAGCCTCCAGCACCAAGATGCGCACCTGCGCCTGGGCCTGGCTCACGTGGTTCTCAGCCTGCACACTCACCACGTGGTCTCCAGCCTGGGAGAAACGGTGGGAAAAACGGGGCCTGGGGAGAATCTCAGGGGTGGCCCCACTAACCTGCAAGTGGAAGGTAACATCTGAACCAGCGGACAACAGGACCTGAAAGTGGACCAGCTGCCCAGGTGGCACCACCTTGCTACTGGCCCACAGAGCCAGGCCCACAACAGGCTCCTGCACTGTGAGGCTGTGCTCAGCCACAGCCCAGCTGACCGCATTGGAGGCATTCAGCCGGATGGAGAAGGCACCAGCATCTGGGAAGCTCACAGCAACGTGCGGGCTATGCTCACTGCCACCTGGCACAGTCCAGCACCAGCTTACGTTGGTGCCTGTGGCTAGCTGCCCCCAGAAGGACACAGTGGAGCTGACTGCCACAAAGCTGCCCAGTTCACCAGCCCTGATGCTGAGGCCACTCACAGGCACCTGCACAATCACCTCAATGGTGGCATTGGCCAAGCCCAGCTGGTTCCCAGCTGTGACCCTGACCGGGTGCAGGCCGGCTATGGGAAAGGCAAGGATGACAGACGGCTCCAAGGTCTCCCAGCTCAGCTCTTCCTCTAGAGTCCATGTGTAAATGACGTTGCTGCCACCAGTCAGCCTGGCACTGAGGGTGACGTTCGTGTTGACAGCAGCTGGGTTGGGGGAGGCGGCCACAGCCAGCCACCCCACAGGCTCCATAAAGTCCACAGTGCGGTTGGCCCAGGCACTGCCCAGCATGTTGGTAGCCCGCAGCTGGATGTGGTAGGTGCTGGCTTCGAGTGCAATGAGTGAGAAGCTCTTACCACTGCCCGTCAGGGCTGGGCTGCCATCCCGCTGGGCGACCCAGCTGTAGGAGATGTTGGTGCCATCCCTGACCATGGCATGCAGCTGCAGCGTGTGGTTGGTGGGGAAGCAGCAGCTGCCCCCTCCACCTGCTATCTGCAGCCCCTCGATGAGCTGCAGGACATAGATGAAGATGCTGTCTTGGGCAGTGCCCACCTCATTCTCAGCTGTGACAATGATGTTGAAGGTGCCCACCGAGCGGAAGGTGTAAGAGATGGTGGGGCCCCCGGGGATGGGCGTGCAGCGGTCACAGAGCACCCAGGAAAAGCACACATCGCTGCCTGACTCCAGCAAGGTGCTGAAGCTCACGCTGCCGTTCAGAGGCACAACTGTGCGGCTGGCATTGACACTGAGCCCCCGCACGCGCCGTTTTACTGTGACATTGAGCTGGGCCTCGCTACGGCTCACCTCATTCCAGCTGGCCACCCTGACAGTGAAGTGACCTGTGTTGTTATAGATATGGGTGACCTCGGGGCCCTCAAGCTGCCTGCCATCCCCCAGCTCCCACAGGGAGGTGGCAGGGCGCCCGTGGCCCACGGTGGAGAACAGGTAGGGCTGCTGCAGCTCTAACACACGGGAGCTGTTCACTTTGATGCCAGTGACCACTACAGGCTCCTGTACCTCCACGAGAGCTGAGTCATTGGCAGCAGAGACATTATTGTACACAGTGACCGTCACCAAGTAGGAGCCCACATCTCTGTAGGTGAATGTCATCTCAGGGCCCCCAATACTGACCTGGGCATTGTCTTCAATGCCAAAGTCCCAGGTGTAACGGTAGGGGAATGGGGGCCAAGCAGAGGCTACCAGCTGGGCTTCGTCCCCAAGCTGCACAAACTGCCTCTCAGGCTGCAGGGTGACATTGTCCACCTCAGGCTCCACACAGACACTGGTGAAGTAATGTGCCTTATTCACGTGGCTCGACAGGACCAGCACCAGGGGAAATGTGCCACTACGAGTGAAGTTGTGTGTCACCGTCGGGCGCCCCTGGATGGTCACATTAGAAGAGCCATCTCCAAAGGTCCAGTCAAAGAGATAGCGAGCAGGGTCCCCGGTAACATGGGCTGTCAGCTGGGCCTCGGGCTGTGTGGGGAGGCAGGCCATGGGCTCTATGCGTAGCACCTCTAAGACAAAGACCTGCACAGGCAGGCTTTGGCTCAAGTGACCCACAGGGCTGGCTGCTGCCACGGTCACTGTCATGTTCTGTGCCTGCAGATACACATGCTGCACCGTGGCCTCAGGGCCTGTCAACACTGTGCCATCCCCCATGTCAAATGTCCACGTGATGTTGTCACCCATCTCCACAGCGGCGCTGACGACCACAGGGGTGCCTTGCTCTACAGCCGGGCTCAGGTGCACACTCAGGCCGCGCAGCTCCTGGAAGACGTGGACCTCTGCCTGCGCCACCACCCTGCTCACCGTGTTGTTGGCCTCCAGGCAGATGTGGTAGGTGCCTGTTGCCACGTAAGTGTGGCTGACCACTGGCTGGCTCTGCATCAGGACAGGGGAGCCGTCCCCAAAGTCCCACACATACAGGACACCACCAGGGGAGGGCAGAGGGTGCGGGTAGAAGGTACCAGGCTGGCCGGCCACCAGGGTGCTGCTGCTCATGCCAATGGCCGTGGTGGGCAGCGCGTCACGCACGCTCACAGGTACCACCTGCGTTAGGTTCTCAAAGGTGTTGGACACGAGCACTGTCAGGTTGTACTCCCCTGTAGAACAGACCTGAGTGGGACCTCCTGCTCACAGGACTTCCCTACCCAGTCCTGGTACCACACGCACAACCCTCCTCAAGATGTAAACCGCTGTGCCCTTGGGCCAACTGGAGGGGCCCCACAACAGGTTGCACGTGGGACCCAGCTCCATGAGGCAGCAATGAGGGTAGGAAGAAAAGGGCACCTCCTGGAACAACCGCAGAGATGAGCAGGAGCACAAGGAAGGGAGGGAGTGCAGCCTGCGCCACACGCCACTGGGGGCGCTGCTGCATGGGGCTCTTGATCCCAAGAGAAGACTGAGAGCAGGGAACAAGAGGGTCCCATTTCTGGCAAATTCAAATCAGGGCTGCCTCAGGGGTCACCCACCCCTCCTTCACCCCCGTGAGGTCCCCAAGCCATCAACCCAGGCAGGATCGGGGTGGGGTGATGGGGATGGTCCCTGGGAGTGTCATCCCTGAGAGGGTCTGCCCGAGGCCAAGGTCAGTGGGGCAGCGGCCCCACCCTTACCTGGGATGGCATAGGAGTGCGTGGCACCGTGTTCCACAAGCACCTGTGCCACTGTAGGGTCTGGAACCTGGAAGGACTCATCGTATGGAGGCTTGAACTGACCAAGAATCTGCTCCCCATCCCCAAAGGTCCACCTGTCAGGGGAGTAAGCTGACAGTAAGTGGGCCAGAGAGGCAGGTGGGCAGGGCCAGCAACTTGCACAGTGTGGGTACACACTTCCCCTACAGTGGTTCCTTCCTGGCACCTTCATTCAAGGTACCCCAGCACTCTGCTTCATAAGTCTCTCACCCCTCCCAGGCAACCCTCACAGGTCCTATGTACCAGCATCCCAAAAGGAGGAAGAAGGCTCAAGACAGCAACCCTACTCAGGGTGCCCAGGCAAAACTAGGTCCTGGGTAAGAACCCGGCCCCAGCGCTCCCAGGCACTGACCCCAGGGCTGTGGCCTCCACTAGGCCCAGAAGCACTCACAGGAAGGCCACCTCCACAGCGGAGTCCACCAGCACACTCGCCACCAGCACCAGGGTGGTGTTGGGGGGCAGCACAGTCGGCACTGCAGACACCCGCAGGCCCCGCATCCTGTTCATGCGCTCCACTGTGACGTTGTAGTTCACAGTGACATTGCTGACGTGGTTGGAGGCTGTTAGCTGTGGAGACAGGCATCAGTGGGTGACAATATACACAGACCCACAGGCGAAAGGCCCTCAGCCCTGACTCAGCGACCCCCCCACACTCACCCACAGCCATGGCGGGGTCCTCACAGGGTGGCAAGACAGAGCAGAACAGAAGGCAAAGGTGAGCACCCAGACACCCTATGACTTGAGTCCCCCTCCACCCACCCCCACCTACTGAGAGCTTGAAGATGGCGGCGCTCTGGTAGATGACGTTGAAGACAACGTTGTGGAAAGTCAGGGACTGCTTATCATCGATGGTCCACCGGAAGACCACATCTGAGCCAGCCTCCACCACAGGGCTGTATCGCTGTGGGAGGAACATGGCGTCACCAAAAGCTGTGACCCCTGCCCTACCCTGGGACTGACTCCCTCTCAGCCCCCATTTGTGTTCCCCAGAAGGACCTGCTGGAGACCAACATGATGAACCACCACGGTCCCTAATGGACACTGAGTGGCTTCCGCCCGGGGAGGGGGCCTTCCTCTATGTGCACCCTTGTCTGGGTGGGGGGTGTCATAGGCCACACTCACCACTAGGACGCCCTGCAGCACACGGGCCTCGGGGCTGGGCATGGCTCGGAGGCCACGGATGGGCTCCTCCGCTGTCACCCTCAGGCTGAGGTTGGCCCGGCTGGGACCGTTCTGAGCCACAAGCTCCAGCATATGCTCCCCAGCACTGAGCCCAGGCAGCACCAGCACTGAAAACAGGGTGTCATTGGTCTCTCGGGTACAGCTGGGCTCAAGGGTATCGGCCACATCAGGGCAGGCATCCTCAAAGGGTGCACTGACGCTGCCCCCAGGCCAGCGAGCTACAGCTGTGGCATTGGCACCAGAGTCCAGCTGAAGCACCAAGACCGAGCCATTGGCTGGCACATAGAGGTGGCCATCATGGGGGGCAGGGTGGATGACCCGCAGCCCAGTCACAGGAGAGATCACGTCAAAGCTGCAGGACAAGTTGTGCCTAGAGACACTGTTGCCCACTGTGGCCCAGACCTCATAGTGCCCAGGATGTTGTAACCCAGGGTTTGGCCTTAGGCCCAGCAGTGGGGTGAGCCGCTCTGTGGCTGAGAACAGTTGCAAAACACAGGCAGGACCAGCTCGAGTACCCTCCAGCTGAGTAGGCAGGTGGGCCAGCCAGTCAGAGGCATTGGTGGAAATATACAGGGTCTCGAGGCCAGGGCGTCTGGGCACTGGGGGACAGTGTAGGAAGGCACCTGGGCCAGCATCATGCTGTAAACCAATGAGGTCACCAGGGAGCACAGGCACATCCTGGTCGCAGAGAGTGACCTAGGGGAGGAAGCAGGGCTGTGTGAGAGCCCACAGGGAACACTGGGCCAGGGCATCAGGAGGGCTCCCAACAGGGCACCTTAGCACTGTCAACTATGCTTCCAGGAGTCCTGCACCCCAGGATCTCATAGCAAGGACAAACAGGGCAGCAGAGACAAAGGGGACTTGCATGGGAATGCAGCAGGGGTGGACTGCCCCATAGAAAGACCCTCCTCAAAGGACTTGAAGGATGGGAAGAAGCTGGTCACCATGAGCAGGTAGGAGTCCTCCTCAGAAGACACAGCAAGGGCAAAGACCCTCATGGGGGGACACAGGCAGGTGCAGAGGAATCCATACTCAAGTGTGATGGGCAGCTGAGGGGAAGGCAGCTTAGGTAGCTGGTCAAAGGCAGAGAGACCTGAACAGGGACACATACCGAGTACTGTGTGGGGGGACCTGCAGGCACGGAGAAGAAGAACTCCCTCCATAGTGTGTAGGTAGCCTTTGGAAGCCTGGGACCTGACAGGGATCCATTAGCACAGGCCCAATCATGGCAGGAGGCATCCAGAGGCATGCAGACATTGGCTTCAGGGCACCAATGTCCCTCCAGCATATACTTGGGGACCAGATCAGTCCTGTTGTCAGGCTCACTGCTATTTTCCAGGGGCCCTGCAAATAGATGAGAGGCGTTGGAGGACATCCCACCCACCTACCTGACCTAGCCAGCCAGTGTCCCCTACCACTACCACTGGCCCACTGCCACAAAGCCACTTGCCACTGACCTGGGTCAGACCTCAACCCAGAGAGCCCCTCCCCCAACCTGCCCTTAGACACATGCAGAAGTCTCCAGCCCTGCTCTCTGTCCACCCAAGGGCTGGGGCCAGCAAACCTGAGTGCTCAGAGAGGGCCTGAGCTCCCCAGCCCCACCACCATCATTAAGCCCCACCTGCTGCTCCTGAGGGCCGGTACACCTGCAGCCGCAGCTGGGCAGGCCTCCGGAGCTCCTGGGTCTCAAACTCAGCTCCAGTGAGGAAGGCTTCACGGCTCAGGCTCAGGCCAGGGAACACCATGACCTGCAGGGCAGGGGGCACCTCAGTGCCAAAGACTGACCCTGGGGTCTGGACTCCACGAACCCAGAACCACCAGGGTGAAGAGAAGGAAGCTATTGGATGGTCCTATCATCCTCCCACAGAGGAAGCCATTAGATGGTCCTGCACAGACCTCATTTTATGCCACTGGGAAGAAAAATGAGGTCAAAACCATCTGTGAGCAGCAGGGTCCCTAGCATGGTCTTAAAAATCCATCACCCTTGAGCTGGGGCTGTGGCTCAGTGGTAGAGCGCTCACCCAGCCCATGTGAGGCACTGGGTTCAATCCTCAGCACCACATAAAAAATAAAAGGTATTGTGTCCAACTACAACTAAAAAATAAAATATTTAAAAAATTCTGATTAAAAAAAAATCATTCACCTAGCAGGGCAAGGTGGCCACGTTTGTAATCCCAGCTATGGGGAAACTGAGGCAGGAAGATCAAAAGTTGGTGAGACCTTGTCTCTAAATAAGAAAAGCTCAGTGGTAGAAGTACTTCCTGGGTTCAATCCCAAGTATTGCAAATAAGTGAACAAAACAATATAATGTAAAAACATTCACCCAGAGCAGGGCCAGCAGGTGCTCAGAGTTCTCCCAGACCAAGGAATCAGGCGCCTTTCATCTCTGCACCCCACAGATCTCCAACTGTCTATGCTGGGCACAAACCACTTTAGGAAGGCCCTCACAAAGCCAACTTGTTTTGTGTGTGTTTTTTTTTTTTGTTTTTTTTTTTTAGAGACACAAAACAGGTTCAGGCAATACCCCCGAGATGCAGAGGGGTTCTAGAATGCAGAAAGGCTGACCTACCTCCACAGGCTGCTGGGGGGCTAAGAGGACTTCCTGCTGTGCCAGCAGACTCAGAGGTCCCTGCAGGCCCCCACCAGGCACTCCCATGAGGAAGTTCTCAGCATCCCACACGGGGCCTGGGAATGGCAAGTATGCAATGAGGTGCTGGTGCCAGGCCAAGGGGACAGCTGGAGGGACATCCAGGGTGGGGCCACCTGGGTCTGAGCCACCCAGCAGCTCCTCCCCCATTCCCTCCATGTTTGCCTCAGCCCAGGCACAGCAGCAGGTGCTCAGCACACCAGCACACACCCAGCACCCAGGAGCAACCATGGGAGGGCAGCCCCAGTCGTGCCCCAGCATCCTGCGCACCTCCAGGCCGCAGCTCACAGACGTAGCTGTGTGGAGCTGAGCACAGGTCAGTGTTGCACTGTCCTGCAGGTCCCAGGCGCACACAGTGCTCGGCAGTGGCTGGGTGCGGCTCCCCAGGCAGCCAGTTCTGGCAGCTCTCAAGGCTGAAGGCTTCACCCTGAGAGGCCGGGCCAACCTCTGCCCCCTCCACAGCTGAGAAACCAATCCACACATCCAGGCTCCTGCAGGCAGATGGCAGAGAAGGCGGGCACTGAGAGGGCGCCCATTCTCCCACTGGGGCATGCTCCTCACAGTGCTAGCAGGGTCCTATCACCATCTCATTTTTCACACGTGAAACTGAGGCTCCAGATGTGACCAGGCAAGCAAGGCCTAGGCCCACAGCAGCAGAGCATCTACCCAGTGTCCATGTCCATGGGGCCAGTGGGCACAAGTGAGGGCCCCTCACAGAGCTCCACCTCAGACCCGACTGAGGGCCATGAGCCACCCCACACCTTGCTCTGCAGGGAAGACCCAGGTACAGCATTTGGGGACAAAGACAGTCTCACATCAGACCCAAAGTTAGCTGCCACCTGAGGGATCAGCTAAGGCAGGGAGCCCCTCCTGAAGGCAGGTCTGTAGACGCACATCCAGACTTGGGCAGAGGGAAGCCAGTGCAGCAGGATATACTCACACACGACTACACACACACGAGCATCAGAGGGCACACCAACTGGGAGTCGTGCTACAGCCCCAGCATCAAGAGCTGATGCTGATGCCCATTAGCCAGATAACCTTGGAGAAAGGCTGTGATCACTGTGGGCTCTATATTCCCTTCTGAACTCTGAGACATGCAGAGTATAGCCATTGACATAACAGGAGCCCTCCCGCTGTCCAGCAGGTGGATCCCTAGGAGAGGTGGGGTCTGGCCTCACCCCTACTCCAGCCATGGCAGACGTGAGCTGCAGAATAAGGGCCTGGCCCACTGTGACTGGGAGGTACACGTCCCCACAAGACTGAGGAGGGCACAGGGGCCCAGCATGCTCTCCCTGGGGGCAGCACATGATGGCCCTGACCCTTCCCAGGAGAGAAACAAGCAGAGAGGTATGAGAAGCAGAAAGCATAGTCTCTATGGTAGCCCCAAAACCAGCCCTCTTGGGAGGATTCAGTGTCTTGCCCTGCAGGGCTGGAGAGACTGGGGTCCTGGTCCCGGGTCCCACAGTGTTTATGAAATCCACTCCCTTACCACCATCCATCTCTGGGGGGCAAGACAGGGCCCTTCCTGCCACCCCCACCTCTTTCTTCTGAACTGCTTCAGGCCTGGGCTCTGCCTATACCCCAGCACTCCAAATCCCCTGCCCACACTGCATTATGGCCTTCCTGGGGATGGGTACAGGCACCTGGTAACCTGGGAGACCAGGAAGTGCTGAATGGCAGGACTGTCCACCATAGCCAGGGCAGCCCCAGCCCAGGCCCGGCACTGCTCCTGCGCCTGCAGCCAGGGCATCTTCTCTGCCACCAGGCGGTAGCAGTGCCCATTGCCAGGGAAGACCTCTGTGTCCGAGGGGCAGAGCGGGTGCACCACTGGGGGACGATGGGCAGAGAACAGGGCATCAACATGTGCCAAAGGATGGGAAGAAAGAGACAGCAGGGGTGACCCAGGCCCAGCACAGAAAACACCTACCTCGGCTGGGCTCCTCACCCAGGGCCAGGATGCTATAGGTGGCCTGTAGGGCTGAGCCTCCACGGTTCCGGATGCTAAAATGAAGGCTCTCATCACTGAGCACAGAGGATGGGCACATGAGCTTCAGGGCAGCAGGGGCCACCTCCACTTGTACCTTTGTACTCAGCAGAGCCGAGCCAGACCCCAAGGCCAGCACAGCAGTCACGTTATAGTACCCAGGTAACACGTAGCGGTGGGTGGTGGCGGCACCAGCCACATCCACCTTAGGGGAGCCGTCACCAAAGTCCCAGCATGTGGAGCTAATAGGCAGAGGGGCAATAATGTGAAAGGCTGCTGGCTGGCCAGAGGCCAGGGGTCCATGGGGCACCACCAGGGTGGCCCCTGGGGAAGCTGGGAAGATATGTTGGAGGAGGGTGGGGACCCTGCAGTTGGGGGTGGGGAGTGGCAGAGGACTGGAGCACAGGGACTGGCAGGCTGCAGAGGTGTTGGGGGCCTGGGCTGCCCCACATAGGCACTGGCCCTGTTCCAAGAGGGCCGCAAGGCTGTGTCCGGCTGAGAAGCAGAAGGCACTGCAGGACTCAGGTGCCAGTGGGCCCTCGCGGGCAGCAGAGAAGGCCACCACTGCCACAGTGCCTGAGCTGTTGTCGGGGAGGCAGGCGACATAGTCCTCACCTGTAACAGGCAGACACACTGGTCCCAGGGCCACTTCCTCCTGCCATTGCTGCAAACTTGCTGCACCTCCCTAGACCCCAGACCAGACCTCCCATAGCCAAACCCTCCCTGGAGAGGCCTGCCCAACCCCTGCCCAGGCACTGTCTCCCCACATGCACCTTTTCCTGGGCCTTCTTGGCCAGGGTCCTGGTAGTAGGGAGGACAGGGCCCTTGTGTCCTGCCTGCACTCACCACAGCTGCTATCCAGCAGGGGCATGCTGAGGAGGGGCTGGCCAGCCAGGGGGCCAGGCCCAGCACATGTGGCTGCCTCAGGCTGGACCACGTGAACATGTTGTTCCTCCACCCAGTGCCTCAGCCACGCCAGACCACAGTCACACTCAAATGGGTTCCCGCTCAGGTTTCTGCAGGGGAGCGGGTGGTGAGGGGACCAGGCAAGGAGGGGCTACCCTGGCAGAACAGCTCCCATTGCCTGCAGCAGGTGAGCAAACTGCCCCTGGAGTCTGCTCTCAAATTTGGGGGGGTGAGTCAGGTCAGAAGGGCAGAGGGGATATTGGGGGCCCAGTGTCTAACTACTAACATGCACCAGAACAAATCAACTCACATTTCAGTTAAATTAAATAAATTAGCAAATGTTCCTTCTTCTAACGTAGAGATCCTGTTGTTGCTTATGTCCCTGGAAGAAAGAAGAGATTAGGCAGAGTGACAGGAGCCCTGTAACCAGATGGCAATGGGCAGCAGCCACCTGTCCACCCTGAGGAGTCCCCAGCATGCAGGAGGGGTGAGCACAGCCGGTGGGGACTCACAGCTCCACCAGTGCTGAGAAGTTCACCAGGAGCTCGACATCCAATGCCTGGAGCAGGTTGTGGGAGATGTCGCTGAGGAGCAAAACACATGGGTGAGGCAGGAGCCCTTGACTGGCCACAAGGCCATCTGGTCCCACCCCTAGGAGCTTCCTGCAACTCCAGTTGCAGCCTCCCACCCTCCAAATTCCCATTCCCAGGGGCCAGGAAGGGGATTTTCTGATGGAGGACCTGAATGAACACATGTCTGGGGAGACTAAGGAAGGAATGCTGGGGGCCACAGCCCTCTGCACCCACCTCAGCCCCACAATGAGTACCACATAGTGCAGTCACACACAACTGCAAACCCTGCTCTCAAATTTGGGGGGTGAGTCAGGTCAGAAGGGCAGAGGGGATATTGGGGGCCCAGCGTCTAACATGCACCAGAACAAATCAACTCACATTTCAGTTAAACTAAATAAATTAGCAAATGTTCCTTCTGTACCTGTACCTGGACAGGTACAGCCCCTTCCATCCAGCCCCTGCCCCAACCTTTCCTCCAGAGCCAAGTCCCTCCACCAACCCCTTGCCCCCAGCCTAGCAGGGTGGTCCCTCACCACCAAGAGCTGACTTCTCCACCCTCTACATGGGCTTCGGAATGCAACCAGCTGCAGGGGCCCAGCTGCTGCCATTTATCAGTGGAAGGGATACCTCAGAATGTTCCAAGATACAATGAGGGCACAAAGGTGAGATAAATGGGGAGGGGCCCTGGCCGATGACCCCACATCACAGTAACAGTGATGGCCCATGAAACTTCAAATCCAACACGAACAATCAAAAACCCTGACTGTATCAACAAGATAACAGAGAGGTTCATCTGTAGGCATCAGTGAGAATCATCATCAAGAAACGAGGCAATGCAAGTCTATGCCTATGCCCTGGAGTGGACAGACTAACCCACAATGGGGAAGAAGCCACAGAAAGGCCTGACCTGCAAGAACCTGCAGGTCAAAAGGTCAAGAGCAACTGAGGCACAAGCACCAGTTGGAGCTGACTTCAGCACTCAGAAGTCCCAGAACAAAGAGCACCAGAAAGTGAGCCAGGTGGTGGCTGGGCAGGGGGGCACAGAGTATTGTGGCCCAGTACCCAGGAGGCCAAGACAGGAGGGTCACAAGGTTACAATCTCTAGACCAGCCTCGGCAATGCAGTAGACCCTCTCTTAAAATAAAAAAGGACTGGGATGTAGCTCAGTGAGAGTGCCCCACGATTCAATCCTCAGTATTGGACTAAGGCAGGGATCTAGAAACAACTAACAAAAGCATATATGGTCACAGGTGTAGAAGAAACATGCCATCTTCTCAGTAATTAGAGAAATACCAATGAAAACGATAACGCAAAAGCATTCTTTTTCTGACAGTTGAGAGCATATTAGATCCAGTCTCCGGCTCAGGTGACCCAGTCAATCCACCCTCACTGACACCAGCAGCCACATCACTAGGCCCTTTGGGCAGTCTAGTGCAAGCACCACTGCCTTTCAGTTATCCCATTCTTTTTCTTTTTTTGATACTAGAGATTGAACCCAGAGCCACATCCCCAGCCCTTTTTGTTTTTTGAGATGCCCCACCCCCACCACTGTAACCCCAAGTGACTGGGATTACAAGTGTGCCCAGGTGTCCCATTCTTTTTTGGGGGTGTGTGGTACTGGAGATTGAACTCAGAGACACTCAACCACTGAGCCATACCCCCAGCCCTATTTTGTGTTTAGAGACAGGGTCTCACTGAATTGCTTAGCACCTTGCTTTTGCTGAGGCTCGCTTTGAACTTGCGATCCACCTGCCTCAGCCTCCCAAACCACTGGGATTACAGATGTGCACCACTGTACCCAGTGGTATCCCACCTCCCCTCAAGCTTTTGGTGCCTTTGAGAACTCACATGTGAGGGAGGGGGCCACAGTCACCCCTGCCACCTACCTCTGGGGTACTCTTTGGGTTCACATATTCCCACTGATCCAGTGAAGCTCCTGGAACAGGGGCCCGAGGACAACCCTGAATGACAGACACCTCTGGTGGTCTGGCCTATGCGGCTTGGGTCCCCCACCAGAGCTTCTGCTCCCCTAAGTGCACTATTTGCCACACAAGATTACCTGGTGCCTCTCAGCAGTCCAGCCCTTCCCAACAGTGACCGCCCAGCTGCTGAAGCCGGAAGCCAGGAGTCCGCCTTTGCCCTTTCCTGGCCCTGGCCCAATTCAGGGCTCCACCCCCAGCACCCTCCTGGGGCCTACTGGTCTCCTTGTTCCTCCATCCAAGCTCCCAGAGGACAGGCAATGGCTCTTTCTGCCAGGGGGTACCTCAGTCAGGCCCAAGCCAGGGCGTCCCAGTGGCAACGATGAGGACAGTAGAGGGAACCTGTACTCTGACAAACCAGGCTTTGGCCCCAGCAGAGACAGCCCGAGCAAGGAAGTGAGACTGAGAGGAGCACTGGCTCCTCAGACCTGGTGTCATGCACCACCATCCCACCTGGCAGTCTACCTGCTTCAGGTGGCTTCTCTCTGGGACCTGCCTGAACCTACCACCAGGGTTCAGAAAAGTAACAAGGGTCTTGGGGACCCTGCTTGGCTGAGTTCCCCCAATCCAGGGAGTGTGGCAAAGCAGGGAGTGGGCAACAACTAGGAGCTGTGCCCCAGTCTCTGCCCCATGGTGGCACTGTCAAGATGTGGTAACATGCAGGCTGTGGGGAGCAGGGGACACTGGAGGGACAATCAGGGCCTGCATTCAGCCCACTGCCCACTGGCCTGAGGTCCTGACAGTAGCTTTTCCACAGCTGTCTGCTACAGCCATCACTGATCCAGGGGAATATCAAGGCCTGGACAGTCCCATGCCCCCACACTCCACAGGCTTCCCCCACTCTCCCTGGATAACGTCACCGCAGTTTGATGCCCAGACCCCAATAATCGGGTTCCCTGCAGGGATCAGAGAAGGGACACAGGGAGCACCCTGGCAGAAGGGAAGCAGAAGCAAGGAGACCAAGGCTGGTCAGATAGCAGACACCCTGGCCCTTACCCACCGCTGGGAGGATAGGAGCACCCGAGAAGTATGCGGCCGAGTGGGGCCTACCCTCTAGGCCATCTGGATTCTCCAAGGCCAAAGCCCACAACTTCCAGAGACCCCCACGGCTAAGCTGGAAGGCATCAGGTGAGCTGAAAGAGGGAGCTAAGCTGGGGACTCACACAAGGGGACAGGCAGATGCCCATGTGAGCATGAGACACGTCACGTCCCTCAGCCTGGCAGGCCGGGCCCCCACTTCCCACAGCACTGGGTACTAACTCCACAGTCTGTGACAGAGGCTGAGGTGCTCCCAGGCCTGGCCTGATCCCCCTGCTATCACAAGATAGACAGTAATGCTGGGAGTCCTTCACACCTGGGTTCTCCTCACCTTGCCATCCAGATCAGATGTCCCTGGGGCTGGACCCCAAGCTGCCACCTATGGGTGCACCTCTAGATGTGGGGCACCAGCCTCGCCTGGGTTTATATCCATGGACTCACACCCACGGGACAGGTCTGTGTCAGGCTCCCGATTTTCCTGCTACAAGAACTGGGGGGACTTCCTCCACCACCCTCGCCCAGCTGTTCCCAGGCTGCACAGAGGATGGGTGGCGCTGTCAGGTGGGTGGTGGAAGCCTCTGGAGAAGTGGGAGACTGTGTGCGAAGGCGGGCATGCTGGGGAGGTAGAGGTGAGGGAGCCACTTAAACAGTTTCTGAATAAGGACAATTATTTTGAGAAGAGGGTGCTGGGGACTTAACCCGTGGGCGCTATACCGCTGAACTACAACACCAGACCTTTTTAATTAATTAATTTTATTTATTTATTTATTTATTTATTTTAGTTACCAAGGGACCTCTATTTTATTTATTTATATGTGATGCTGAGAATTGAACCCAGTACCTCACACGTGCCAGGCAAGCACTCTACCACTGAGCCACAACCCCAGGCCCCCCTAGACCTTTTTATTTTGAGAAAGGGTCTCTATATTGCTTAGAGTCTTGCTAAGTAGCCCAGGCTGGCCTTGCATTGCGATCCGCCTGCCTCAGCTTCCCAAATCACTGGGATTACAGGCATGCACCACCATGCCCAACAGCTGTGGACTGTTGTGAGGGCCAACCCCTTTCCAGGGCTGTAAAAACAAAGGCCCCAGATGAACCAGAACTCTGACCTGCAGCTGAGTGGCTCCAGTTTCCTCCTCCAAGATGGAGAGTAGCCCAGGTGCCCGCTCCCCAGTCTGGATGTCAGGCAGGGTGTGGGGGCCAGCAGAACCCCCAAGGAAACATCTGCACATTCCAGGCACATGTGGTCAGCGGGCGGGCGAGTGCCAGGTCCGGCACCCCCACCCAGCGCTGGCCGCCGTGCTGGAAACAGTGCTCAGGGGGAACAGCTCCGAGGGGCCGCCTGTGGACATTATGTAATCAGCTCTTGCAGAGCCAGCCGCTTCCTCCCTCTGGCAGACTCGGGCAGTGCAGGGGGAGGCAGAAGGCCCCCACTCTCCCCCAATGCTCCTGGAGGAAACAGACTCCCCTCAACCCAGCAAGGAAACTCCCAGAAACATCCTCTCCCAAGCCAGAGCAGAGGGGTGAGAGGCCGCTGTCAAGGACCCACACTTGGCTGGCAGAAGGGTCCCGGCCCCCAGGCTGGCCTCCCTAGCGGCTCCTTCCTGTACTAATGGACTTTCCTTCCAGGAGCCCAGCAGCCAGAGCCAGCGTGGGTCTGACGCCCTTACTGTTTTCATTCCCTTTGCTTTTTGTTCCCTTCTATTTATGGCGAGTGAGGCTAGCTTCCAGGGCCGGAAATGATGTTTAAATTGATGAATTCGAGTTTAGGAGAGAGCTGCAGAAAATCACTTAGTGCACACAGGCAGTGAGGTGGGCAGGGCAGGCTCTGGCTATGCCCCGCTGCTTTTCCAGGGAGACTCACCTCTATGCTGCCCCCCCATGACCACCTCCCACCTGGCTGCAGATGAGGGCCTGGCAAAGAGTGGGTGCCCCATCTCTGGGATGAGGGAAAGGCTACGAGGGCAGGCTGCAGGGCAGCCCTCTGATGGCCAG